GATAACCGCCATTATCCGACCGTAATTATTGGAGTTATTCCCCTTGGTTTCATTAATGCGATGCATGTGTTCCATGATGTTGAATTGCACTCATTGATCTACCAGTTATGTTGAATGATTTCTCTTTCAATATCAATTACTCACAAATACTTCATATATTTCAATCATACAAACAACTGCTCATTCAATGTGTGACGGGCGTATTATATACCGCTTGCGGTAACCTTGTTGTTATACTGAAAGGGAGTTTAGGTTTGTCCTGTGTTCCTCAGTTCATCATTCCATGTGTGTATCTCCTTGCCTAGGGCATATCTCATACACTGTGTCATCTACAATTGCCACATTTTGTATGTGAGTACCCCTGGGATGGCAAGGTGTTGCATACTAGAATCTGGTCTTGTGCCCTGTTATACACAGAGTTATGGCCCTTTGCTCAACACATAGCACTGGTCCAGGGTATATTTCATATATCGTGTCACTTTAAACTGCCAAATTGTGTATGCAAGTACCTCTTACAGTGTAGCTAAGTGGAATGTTGCTGAAACAGGGACATGTGCCTTAATTTACAGTTATGGCCTTTTGTTCAGTTTTGATACCAAAGTTTGTTCAGATATAGGACACTCTGGATTAGCCCCATGGTTTTGCCTTTTTAATATTTTAAAGAGAAGTGAAGACTGTGTCAAGATTTCACACTCATGTTCACCATCAGTATGCATTGTTGTTTAATCAATTGATTCTATGTTTTATGTGATGACAAAAATGAAAGCACTTACTTCTTATGATTCATTTAAGTGTCAGTTGGATCTTTAGGTGCCATTTAAATGTCATAGTTGAATTTAATATTAGCAAGTTTTGTCATTTGAATTTCCAGCCACTTCCACCGTCAGCATCAGATGAACAAGGACGTCTCTTGATTCCTGAGCTACAGCTGGACTATGCTGGGGACTATATTTGTTCCACCGTCGGAGTTCAGGGAACATTTGAGGCCACAGCTAGACTGGACATTAGGAGAAGTAAGTCAAAATATAATATAATGAAGCATGTTTAAATAAAATGCCACATAGTGACTTTGGGCCCTCCAATAAGGTCACATATGGTACAGGCATCTTATTATCCAACATACTAAATCCCTTTCTACAATTCTGAAGTTGGTTATAAGCCGACACACCCTCCAACAGGACCTGGTGGTTCTGGAAATTGTCTGTTATTATTTTATATACTCAATCCTTTATTGCCTTCCTGTAGTTGGCCCTGAGCCGACCCGAGCTCCAGCAGAACCTTGTGGGGCTGGAGAATCTGTTGCTATTTAATATACTCAATAATTTATTGCCTTCCTGTAGTTGGCCCTGAGCCGACCCGAGCTCCGTCAGGACCTTGTGGGGCTGGAGAATCTGTGTGTCAGAACGGACAGTGTATCCCATCAGACTACCGCTGTGATGGGGACTCCGATTGTGAAGACGGCTCTGATGAATTATACTGTAGTAAGTACACTTACTGTACATTACTGTAATTATACTGTAGTAAGTACACTTACTGTACAGCACTGTAATTATACTGTAGTAAATACACTTACTGTACAGCACTGTAATTATACTGTAGTAAATACACTTACTGTACAGCACTGTAATTATACTGTAGTAAATACACTTACTGTACAGCACTGTAATTATACTGTAGTAAATACACTTACTGTACAGCACTGTAATTATCCTGTAGTAAGTACACTTACTGTAAACACTGTAATTATTCTGTAGTAAGTACACTTCCTGTACAACACTGTAATTATACTGGAGTAAGTACACTTACTGTACAACACTTTAATATACTGTAGTAAGTACACTTAATGTACAACACTGTAATTATACTGGAGTAAGTACACTTACTGTACAACACTTTAATATACTGTAGTAAGTACACTTAATGTACAACACTGTAATTATACTGGAGTAAGTACACTTACTGTACAACACTTTAATATACTGTAGTAAGTACACTTAATGTACAACACTGTAATTATACTGGAGTAAGTACACTTACTGTACAACACTGTTATATACTGTATTAAGTACACTTACTGTACATTACTGTAATGAGACTGTAGTAAGTACACTTACTGTACAACTCTGTAATTATACTGTAGTAAGTACTCTTACTGTACAACACTGTAATTATACTGGAGTAAGTACACTTACTGTACAACACTTTAATATACTGTAGTAAGTACACTTAATGTACAACACTGTAATTATACTGGAGTAAGTACACTTACTGTACAACACTGTTATATACTGTATTAAGTACACTTACTGTACAGCACTGTAATTAGACTGTAGTAAGTACACTTGCTGTACAACACTGTAATTATACTGGAGTAAGTACACTTACTGTACAACACTGTTATATACTGTATTAAGTACACTTACTGTACAGCACTGTAATTATCCTGTAGTAAGTACACTTACTGTAAACACTGTAATTATCCTGTAGTAAGTACACTTACTGTAAACACTGTAATTATTCTGTAGTAAGTACACTTACTGTACAGCACTGTAATTATACTGTAGTAAATACACTTACTGTACAGCACTGTAATTATCCTGTAGTAAGTACACTTACTGTACAACCCTGTAATTATACTGTAGTAAGTACTCTTACTGTACAACGCTGTAATTATACTGTAGTAAGTACATTTACTGTACAACACTGTAATATACTGTAGTAAGTACACTTAATGTACAACACTGTAATTATACTGTAGTAACTACACTTACTGTACAACACTGTACTTATACTGTAGTAAGTACACTTACTGTCCATTACTGTAATTATACTGTAGTAAGTACACTTACTGTGCAACACTGTAATTATACTGTACATCAGATATCTGATTTTCAAGCTGTAATTGTACAACTGGTTATTTACATGCTCCACTTGAACACTGATCAATAAATGGAGGATTTGTGCACTTTTTCATGTTCTGAGTTGTCTTTGAGCCCTACATATTAACTATAGTTTGAGCACTGTCCACCTTTAGGTACTGACAACCCATGTGAGCCAAACGAGTTCCGCTGTACCAGTGGTATCTGTGTGATGAAGATTTGGCGTTGTGATGGTGACAATGACTGTGGCGATGGATTTGATGAACAGAATTGCCGTAAGTATCAAACTTGTTCTATAAGAATCACTGTGTAAGTAGAACATTGTTAATCCAGGATTGAGAAGTTACCAGAAATTTGTTTTATACTTTTATTATAAGGCACCTGTTTTAATGCTACAAAAGTGGGAAAAAATTGTCAATCTAGACAATGATAATGGGGAAAAACAATTTCTGGATGAGGAATGTTACAGAGTGATTTAGTTTAAGTATATTTTCAGGAAGTCAGAAATTAGCTAGAAATGATTGGACAATTATGTATGTCTGATAGCAGACAGGTCCTATATCCTTCTAAAAAATGTAGAATTCTTTGTACATGAAAATTCTTTGTGGACCTCCTTTGCAAATTGTTTGGAAGTTTTCATGTTGGTTAATTTGCTGCTTTATATACATCATGGTGCAATAATAAAGGAAAGTAAGTGAATATAATTTCAATAGTGTCCCCTGTTAATGCCATTTTAGGTTCTATCTTTAAAAAATGTCTCCATTTGTTCTACAGCGACTGGACCCCCTGGAGCCCAGTGTCGTATGGATGAATATAAATGTTCAACCGGCAACCAGTGTGTGCCTGCCAGTTACCAGTGTGATGGAGAGATTGATTGTCAGGATAGGTCGGATGAAATCGCCTGCTGTAAGTCACATGACATACATATAAGTATTCATAAATATCACATGACATGTTTCATACATCACAACATAGCTCTCAAGTCACATGACATACATCTCAAGTCACATGGCATTCATCTTCGGTTACATTACATGTATTCAAGTCACATAATGTACACATATATATAGGATCTTAAATGAGTTTTCATTTCATATGAGATTTTATGAAACGATTCTTAGGTGTGCTTTTTTAAACTTTGAGATGAGTTTCATAAAAGCTCATATGAAATGAAAACAAATTTAAGATACTTTTTATCACATAACTCAGAAAACTTACATTTTGACAGGTTTTAAAGCCAAAATGTAGAGGGCTTTATCAAACGGAGACAGCCATTTTGTTGCGCCATTCACAATTTATGACGTCACTTCACTGTCCATATTATGAAGTCACAATTGATTTCTGACAGGCAGCCAATGAAAAATGCTCCAGGGTATATAACACTAGTGACATATATAAAAATATTACACAGGCGAATTCACTGGATAACAGGCCGATTATGTGATAAATATCACATATGACATACTTTATGCATCACATGAGATGTTTTAAGTCACATGACATATCCTTACGTCACCTGACATGTCTTGATTGTCACATGAAAGGACTAATGACATGCAAGCATTATGAAGGTTTCTCAATTACACCGATTTCAAAAAAAGAATTGTATAACCACTGTATCAAATAGCTTCACCTTTCTGGCTTTCTTTCCCAATGATTATGAAATGCAGAATTCTTCCCTTTGGAAACTTCCTGACTTTCCCAATTTTTATTTACTTGTTTTTAAAGCTAGCACATCTTGTTGTATTCTGTAGTTGAAAATAAAGGTAAACCATTTAATGGGGATATAAACGATTTACAAATGTTCAGTTTCTGAGTTTTCCGAGAATATCATCCTAAAGCCAAGAGTTCCCTGTAGATGGTACTGAAATTATCTTCACAACTCAACCGTATATATAGCACTGAAATAAGTTATGAACCCAATCCATGACCATGTTGGTGCCCATTCCGTATTTCCAGATTCTGAGTTAAGGTCAGCCTTTCCCAAAGTGGAAAGGTGTAGTTGTGAGCCTAAGGAAGGTAAGGCGGTGTCAGCATATAACTGCAGTGATATCCCTCCTCCATCAACTCAGGACACTTTTTACCCTCCCCGATTTGCTATTTTGCTTAAGTGAAAAGCTGTTTTTCTTCAATTCAAGTTCCTGTTCATAAATTGAATATCGGTGCAATGAAAGTAATGAAAAATACTAAAATGAAACCTAATGAAAAATAAACCATAAAAGCAAGTTCTTTTGAATGAGGACAAAAAAAATAATACATTGAAAAAAGCACCCCAACAAGAAGATTATTCTTGCTTTCAACTCTTAAAAAATGACATTGAAGAGATAAGTTGGCAGGCTACATCCTTCTACTGAGTAACCAGTTAAGATTTGGAGTAAATTTTAGGTTGATTAAAAGTCCTGGTGGCAGACGTGGTAACCTGTGTGAGTGGTTTGTTATGATAGGCTTTTTGTTTGTGGGCTGACAGAAGGAGGACATGGAAATATCTTTAAATTTTCAGAAGAAGAACCTTATATATGGCTGTTTAGTATTGTGACATAAACAATAAAGAATCGTTATTTCTATCCGAGCCCAGTTTGATTTCCCTGTACGTTTTTTCTGTCCGTGTGTCCTGTTTGTGTGATCTTTCATGTCTGTCCATTGTGGTGTGTTCTGTGTGTGTTTACTTTCTTGTTAGTCCCAATTAAAGCTGCCGATTTTGGCAGTATGTTTCGCAATGCTGGTTGAGACATAGCTGACATTTTCCATGTGTTTTTAACTCATTCACCCCTACGGTTTTAAACTGGACTTGCCCAGTCTTTGATTTGGTAAGGTTCAAATGTGATTTTAGGGGTGAATGGGTTGAAGCTTTTTATAAACCCGGTTCACAAGATTATTGTTGACTTTAAATTGTGTATATTTATAGCAATTCCTAAAAACAGATTCACATAATGTTACATTGTTTATATTTATAGCTGTTCCAACTATCATCTTGCCTCCTGTGTCTCGTATCGACGTGGATATTGGAGGTCGTTTCACCATTGTCTGTGAAGCCATGGGTACACCTACTCCCCTGATTGTCTGGAGACTTAACTGGGGAAATATTCCGACAGGCGACCGTGTGCATGTCCATAGTGCGGATGGCCGCGGCAATCTCACCATCACTGATGCTCGTATTACTGACTCGGGAGCCTACACTTGTGAGGCTATTAATACCAAGGGAACCATCTTTGCTATACCAGATGCTATTGTTATTGTCCGAAGTAAGTCAAATATGTCATTCAACATTTCAGATTACAAGCTTTGTTGTGTAGAAGTGTTCGGAACCATCAAGAAATTTGAGATATCTTGGTTTAAGTTCATAGCAACATACTGGGGTAGCTCCATGCTACCATAGCAACACACTGCCAGAGCAATATACTGCTGTAGCACCACACTTCCATAGCAACAAACTGCCATAGCAACACACTGCCATAGCAATACACTGTCATATCAACACACTGCCAGAGCAATATACTGCTGTAGCACCACATTTCTATAGCAACACACTGCCATAACAATTTAACACACTGCCAGAGCAATATACTGCTGTAGCACCACACTTCCATAGCAACACACTGCCATAGCAATACACTGTCATAGCAACACACTGCCAGAGCAATATACTGCTGTAGCACCACATTTCCATAGCAACACCCTGCTAGAACAATATACTGCTGTAGCTCCACATTTCTATAGCAAAACACTGCCATAGAAATACACTGTCATATCAACACACGGCCAGAGCAATATACTGTCATAGCAACACAGTGCCAGAGCAATATACTGCAGTAGCACCACACTTCTAGATCAACACACTGCCATAGCAATATACTGTTATAGCAACACACTGCCATTACAATTTAACACACTGCCAGAGCAACATACTGCTGTAGCACCACACTTCCATAGCAACACACTGCCATAGCAACATACTGCTGTAGCACCACATTTCCATAGCAACACACTGCTAGAACAATATACTGCTGTAGCACCACACTTCCATAGCAACACACTGTCATATGATAAAAAAAAATGTGGAGATCAACATATGGTATTTGATATATCTGAGTGTAGACACATTTTACTATATGATGTTTTGTGTGTTTATTACAAAGATATCTGACTTAATCATTGTTAAGCTCCAGTTAGACTTGTTGTACTGCCACTATTTGTCTGCTGGATCCCCCGGAGTCTTGGCATCATGTTATGTCACATACAAGGAGGCACGTCTTTAGCTGATAATAGGAGGCAAACCCCAATTACCAATTCACCAACCATCTAGGCTTCATGAAGAGGTTTGACAATGCATAATAGATGGCTAAAAATGTTTGTAATTGTGACATAATGATTAACAGAACTGTGAGAAGACAAGTGGAATTAGGGGGAGAGCTACATTATGGTTCTACTCTCCACTCAGACACCATTCTTATCCTTATCTTTCCAAGCAATAATTATAACCTGTCAAGGATGAAGACTGTCATGGAAAAATCTCAAATTAAAAGTTATTATTTTTGTACCTTTAAGTAGTTAATCTTTATCTTTGACACCTGTTTGTTATAGGAAGTCCTCAGCCAGGCGTTTGCAGACCACCAGACTTCAATGTAGAGGCATCCAATAGTGGCCAGTGTCTCCGCTGTTTCTGCTTTGGTCAGACGACAGACTGTTACAGCAGTGACCTACATGTGTCCCAGGTAAGTCACACATACTTGAGTACATGCTGAGTACAACTGATCAGAACAATACAATAGATTTTCGCTTCAATTAAGTTTCAATTAATTATTTTTAGAAAAGCGATGTCACCCTGGTAAAATACTATCTGCTTCCTGCCAACTCAGCTAACTCATTCAGATCAGCCTAAGACTTGTAAACCAGAGGTCCTTAGTTCATCTCCTAGCGGAGGCATTGGAAAAATAATTACCTCTGTTACTTTGGTTTAAACGTTACAATTTGTATTGTGTAATGCTTGTTTGATTACAGATTGCGCTGTACGGCACCATGTCCCTTGTAGAGGAGACAACTAGGGGGGAATCAATCCCTGCCACAGTCAACATTGAACAGGTCTCCAGGGATACCTTCCTTATCAGGGACTTCATTGAGGTCCTCCCAGCTGGAAACTACTACTGGGAACTTCCCAACGAGTTCCTTGGTGACAGGGTAAGGTCAAGGTCAGGGTATAAGTTGTGTGAGGGATGCTTGGGTAAGGTCATGGTCAGGAAATTAGTTATGTGAGGGATGCTTACCTGTCAAGGACAGGAAATTTGTTGTGTGAGAGCTGTTCTCTTTTCAAGGTCAGGGAATCAGTTGTGTGAGGGATACTAGACAGACAAATAGTTGTGTAAAAACTGTTCACTTATCAAGGTCAAGGTCAGGGAATTACTTGCATGCGGGATGTTCACCTGTCAACAATCTGTTGCTTAATTAATGATTCTTTAGTAAATATAGAAATATGGCTGTCATCATTTTCCTGTTTACCAGGAATGTCTCTTAGGAATTGCCTTTTGTGGGGAAAAGTCCAGATTAATCAATGTTTTCAATTGCTTTTGTCACATTAAAGTACATTTTCTATTTGTAAGATGATTATAACAATTATGACCTTTTCCCACTTTCAGCTGACGACTTACGGAGGTGATCTGAAGTATACCATACAATATGATATTATTGGAAGTCCTGGCAGCACCAACCAACCAGATGTTATACTGAAGGGTAACAAAGTTACACTGTACCACAGGACCTCTACTATACTGTCACCAGGGGGAGAGCTGGTCATCACAGTACCTCTCATACCTGTAAGTACATCTAAGTATCTGTCAGTACCTAGGGTACATCTAAGTATCTGTCAGTACCACTGGTACATCTAAGTATCTGTCAGTACCACTGGTACATCTAAAGTACAATGGTACATCTAAGTATCTGTCAGTACCATGGGTACATCTAAGTATCTGTCAGTACCACTGGTACATCTAAGAATCTGTCAGTACCACTGGTACATCTAAGAATCTGTCAGTACCTAGGGTACATCTAAGTACCTGTCAGTACCACGGGTACATCTCAGTATCTGTCAGTACCACGGGCACATCTAAGTATCTGTCAGTACCCCGGGTACATCTAAGTACCTGTCAGTACCACGGGTACATCTCAGTATCTGTCAGTACCACGGGCACATCTAAGTATCTGTCAGTACCGCGGGTACATCTAAGTATCTGTCAGCACCACGGGTACATCTAAGTATCTATCAGTACCACGGGTACATCTAAGAATCTGTCAGTACCACGGGTACATCTCAGTATCTGTCAGTACCACGGGGACATCTAAGTATCTGTCAGTACCATGGGTCCATCTAAGTATCTGTCAGTACCACGGGTACATCTAAGTATCTGTTAGTACCATGGGTACATCTGAGTATCTGTCAGTACCAAGGGTACATCTAAGTATCTGTCAGTACCACGGGTATATCTAAGTATCTGTCAGTACCACGGTATACCTAAGTATCTGTCAGTACCACGGGTACATCTAAGTATCTGTCAGTACCATGGGTACATCTTAGTATCTGTCAGTACCACGGGTACATCTAAGTATCTGTAGCCCTGTTAATTGATAACACAAACGTTCAACTTATAATTAAAGCATTTATATTGTTTTGAACATTATACTGTATCTTTCTCCGTGCATCATTTTTTGTATACATTTTTTTGTGATAGTTTTATATTTATCCCAAACTGAAATTTAACGAAACATTGATGCTCATTCCACTGATATTAATTTCCTTGATTTAAGTAAAAATGGGTCTTGGACCCCAGAAGGGACAAGCAAATCCCCTGACTATTATCACTTATTAACTGCATACAGTACTATTAAAACAGACAAAATGACTCATTTGTATTATAAATGAATAATGTATATCTTTGCAGTCTGCCTGGTCTAAAAGTGATGGAGGGTCAGGCCGGAGAGGAGACATTCCTGCTCAGGAGCCAGTGACCAGAGAAGATCTTATGATGGTTCTGGAGAATGTGGAGGCCATCCTTGTTCGTGCCAATTATGACATCCAGCAGACTTCCTCCAGGTTAGTGTTAATGCTTTACATTTACAAGATTCCACAACAAAGACCATTGGGGGAAAATGGATTAAATTTGATTCATGTACAGTGAATCTCTTGATGAACAACCAAGGGGATTGGATACTTTTGGTCAGGTATGGCAGTGTTCTGGTACCCATGTCAAAAACAGAGTTAAATCTTTTTATGTCAGATTTTGTATGATTTCCTTAAAGTAAGTTTCAGTATACTTATGTTGAAACAAATACTTTAAGAAACAAGAAGACTATGTATTATACTGTGACTGATTTACTCTTTAATTTTTATCACTAGAAAGGACTTAAATCACTTGTAAATAAAAAGATAACTTTTGTTAATATGTAGTGTTATTTCCTTCACAAACAGTTGTACTTGTTGACCTTGTGCTGATTGAACTTGTTGACCTTGTGCTAATTGTACTTGTTGACCTTGTGCTGATTGAACTTGCTGACCTTGTGTTGATTGTACTTGTTGACCTTGTGCTGATTGTACTTGTTGACCTTGTGCTGAGTGTACTTGTTGACCTTGTGCTGAGTGTACTTGTTGACCTTGTGCTTAGTGTATTTGTTGACCTTATGCTGAGTGTACTTGTTAACCTTGTATTGACTGTACTCACTGACCTTGTGTGTTATACAGGATTGGGGGCATCTCCATCAGCACGGGAGTGATAGAGGACACTGGAGTAGGACGAGCAGTCTTTGTGGAGGAGTGTGAGTGTCCTGCTGGATACTCAGGCCTTTCCTGTCAGGTAGGTTTTCTTTATAACAAATATTTGTTAGAACTAACAGAAAAACACTGTTACAGTAGGGACTTGTTAATCCTGTCATCTTTGTTAGGATATGAAAGGGCTAGATTGTAATACAGCTGGTTTACTTTGACACTTCTAACAGTCAAGGGAAATCTTTCTCAAGAATTTGCTAGATTAAAGATGCTTGACTACGTCATAGCTTTGGAACAAGAAAAAACTTTGAAAACAAATTGGTAGATGGGTGATTTACACATATATATTGCAAGTGTAATGATTTTTTTTAAGGTAAAATAGATAAACAAAATTAAGATGTTTGCAAGAAATGGCAGATATAATACATCATGGTTATTTTTAATAATTAAGTTAATTGATTATAGAAATATACAAATAATATACAAAATAGTTTCATGACTGGTTTAGAATGGATTTTACACTAAAGTCTTGGTGTTTGTGATGTGTGTTTACGTAAACATGTTTGATGTATACTGGTGTTAACTATTGGTGGTATAGGACTGTGCAGCAGGTTACAGACGGGTCAGACAGGGACCATACCTTGGCATCTGTAGACGTTGTAACTGTAACGGCCACTCAAATGACTGTGATCCTGAGACTGGAGCATGTAGGGTAAGTACAGTTCCCGGTCTTTCATCTGACCTTTTTTAGTTTTGCTGAAATATGCCTTTATTATAAGATAGAAGAAATTCCTATATATATGTATTTTTATTTTAACAGCTTGCGTAAGATTTACTTTTTACAATAGGAAACACATGAAAACATACATTTCTCTATGATTAAACGGAAGGATGTGATTCAGCTATATATTAATATTGCTTAAATGATGTAATGGACATTTTTCTAAATTTTATAATTACAAAAATGTACAAAACTTTATACATCATTTTCCCCACAGGTGTGTGCACATTTCACAGAGGGACAACAATGTCAGCGCTGTGTCCAGGGCTACTTTGGTGATGCTACTCAGGGTCTTGCAGACTCTTGTAGACCTTGTCCATGTCCACTAACTGAAGTATCCAATCAGTAAGTCTGTAACATACATCCAGTCAGTAATACTGTTGTATCTTTCAAGCCAATCAAATCTGTTACATTGATCCAATCAATAAGTCTGTTTCATCTATCCAATCAGTAAGTCTATTTTATCCATCCAATCAGTTAGTCTGTTACATTCATCCAATAAGTATGTCTGTTGCTTCAATCTAATCAGAAACCAGTGTCTTTAGAATCCATCCAATCAGAGATCATTAAATCGTTTGCATCTTCCAATCAAAATGTCTGTTACTTATAATAAGAATCATTGGGATGTTTGCACCTGCAGGTGTGTTAACTGTGTCTGCAAATTTCTAATGATTGACCCCTCCAGAGAAAATATGGCCATAACTTTATTAATACTGTTTGTAGGTTCAGCCCGACCTGTAGACTAGACACTGATGGTCTGCCCACCTGTACTGCCTGTCCGGAAGGTTATGAGGGCAGGAACTGTGAAAGGTGTGCCAATGGTTATATTGGTAACCCACGTCAACTTGGGGACCGCTGCCGTCGAGTTTCAAGTAAGTTGAAATGACAAGTCTGAGTTAAATGATGTTTGACATTCATTAGGGAGCGAAGTAATTCGTCAATTAAATAAACCACTAACAGTTTCCTATATTAAATGTTCAAGCTGTGATAATGGTGAACAATAGCTAAATAGATTTGCACCAAATTCATATAAAATATATTTAATGCATCTTAAAGTTTATAGTATTCTAGTGGTTAGTGTTAACTATAACATTCTCAGTGAACCATGGTTTTGACGCAATCAGTTATTTTATATATACATTGATACAACAGTTGAGGAGAGGTGTGACTCGCGTGGAAGTGTGCAGACCCGCCCTGACCCTCGAACTGGCACTTGTCCATGTAAGGTAGGTAATACTAAATGATTCTGTCTCTGTATGTATCTGTATTATATATGTAATGGAGGCACGGTAGTCTAGTGGGAGGACGCCTGGCTCATGACCAAAGGGTTGCAGGTTTGAGTCATGTCACGGCACTGTGTTTTATCTTTAAACAAGATACTTTACTCCGCTTGCTTCAGTCTACTCAGCTGTAAATGAGTATGTGGTTTGGCAGTGCTAGAATTGTTGAATAATAGCTGTGTTGTATTATACAGACTTACATGGAGGCCTTTTACTAATATGTTTGTGTTTCTTCATCGCACAGCAATATGTGGAGGGTCCAAACTGCCGCGAATGCAAGGCCAATACATTCTATTTGAGCCTAGAGAATCCATACGGCTGTATCTCCTGTTTCTGTATGGGAGTCACTGACACCTGTACCTCGACCTCATGGAATCGTGCTCAGGTAAAAAATTATAAAACCATTAACCAAAAAAATGTTGTTTTGTAGCTAAGTAACATCCTGAAGGGTGAATTTAGTTGCAGCGAAAACCCCAGAAAACAAAATAAAATTATTGTTCGTCAATGAAAAGTGGTGTATGAAAGTCAAAAGAAGGCGGTAGACTGTGCTTCAGTAGGTTCAGTAAAAATTAAAGTAAATTGCAGAATTTTGGAGGCAAAATTTTCAGTACAAAGGTGGGGATGCGTTCCTATTGTATCTTTATAAGCAGATATTTTCCTAGTTGGACAGACAACAGATAATCTATAGCAACAAATTCCTCCAAAAACTCTCAGAAATCAGTGTGGCTATTAACTTTTATATGAGCAGCATTTCAGTCAACTGTTACTATTATATCCATGGATGATTATTTGACAGGTCGGAGCTTCGTTCACGAGGGACAGCTTGGGATTCTCACTGACAGACATCTCTCGTAAGCCAGATCTTACCGTGACTGATGGGTTCACTATTGACAGAAATGTCCGTGAGCTCATCTACCGATCCTTCGGAAGACTGCCCGAGACTGACTACTATTGGTCACTTCCTCAGCGTTTCCTTGGTGATAAGGTTAGCATGAAATATTGTACATTTATATAGTTGATATTTATATTGTTGTAGTATTTGTATAATTCCAATGAAAAGTTTAAAAAGAGGTGTCTTAACCCTGATAGCCTCTTATCACCGATGGTCTCTCATGCAGGTTTAACAGTAGATAAAAATCGAAAACCTTGAATCGCACCTGTAAAAATTACATATTTGTGCAAATTACACAAGTTTTTAATATAATTGAGATAACTTAAGTTCAATCTTTTATTTTTGTTTGATTTGTGTAGCTGGTGTCATACGGAGGTTCTCTGAGGTTTGTTGTGATGTACCGTCCAGGACAAGACTCTGCAGGGACCCCTGGACCCCTAGTGGAAATAAGCGTAATTATGACATTCCCATATCGTGATGTGATTCAATGTTCTGTGCCAGCTGTGTTCACATACAAATTAAAAATCTGTACCATTGCCATATGTGCTGTTATAACTTAATTTGTACGAAAACCTCTTGTCAAGTTTGTTATTAAACAACTTTTTGTGAATAATTTGATTCTCAAAATAAAATATACATAACTAAGACTGTTTGCAAATTAGTTCCAAAATAATATGAGACTTGTGAAAAAGAGATTGCTCAGTAAGGAGATTCTTCAGTAAAGGAGATTCCTGAGATTCCTCAGTAAATAATATTTTTCTTCACGAAAATAAATTTTGCAATAAATCCATTTCATTGGTATCAATTATTTGAAGTTTTGTAGAATTAACTTTGGTTTTAAGAGTCTTTTGTGAGCAAGTGTTCCATTATGTATAGTTGCTGATGTTTGTAATTAGCAAATTGATGACCAATGAAAATCATCCGAGGTCAGAGGTGACCAATAAAAAGCCTTGAAATTGGTCACATACTTCAGGAACATTTACGTTTTCACACTGCAACTGTATATTTCATTAATCAATAAGATCATTCATGAGCATTTAATAATCAGTGGATTTGATTTCCAGGGAAACGACATTGTGCTTGTACACCGTCCTCAGAAAATTCCAAGCCCAAACAAACCAGAATCCTACAGCGTTAAGTTTTATGAGGTAAGTTATACGAATAAATGTTATGAAGTGGTTTCTGCAGTCTTGACAAGGAATGTTTTCAGATAAATGTCTTAAGTAAGAAGAAAGTTACCAGAAGTGTGATTTGATTGTTGAACATATGTTGAGATAAATGAAATGAAGTCTACCATTCTTCAAAAGTTTACTGTGTGTGAAATATCTGCTGTGATATTTTTATATAATTTTGTCTGATCTTGTAAAAAGTGTACCCTTTAATGAACCTTAACAATCATTCACCCCTGACATTTCATAATGAGCTATTCCAACATTTGAATTAGAAGATTTCAAATGTGTCTTCAGGGGTGAATGAGTTAATGACCTTTTTAGTGTCATATTTTAAGATGTTATCACTTTTCAGTAAAATGTTTTCTGTATTACAGGCCAGCTGGACAAGACTGGATGGCCAGCCAGCCACACGTGAGTTCCTTATGATGGCTCTAGCTGATCTTGATGCAATTTTGATCCGAGCAACCTTCACCAGGACAACAGACCAGGCCAGCATTCGTGACATTGTCATGGACATCGCCGAAGACAGGAACACGGGCCAGGACCGTGCTAAAACGGTGGAGCAGTGTGTCTGTCCACAGGGCTACAGAGGACTCTCCTGTGAGGTAGGTGCTGTTAAAGTGATACATAGTTAATAATTTAAAGAATTTCATTCTTAAGATTATTTATTTTAAACACGGTTATGGAATTAAATAAGTTGTGAAAAAATATTCAAACTCATGGAGTTTCGTGTAAAAAAAATGTTTTGCCAATTTCAGTTTTGAGTTGCAGGTATCTGTATACAGGTATCTGTATATAATCAAATATTGAGAGTCAAAGTATTGTTTGGTTCAGGAAAAAATGGCAAATTTCTGATTTAACTGGAAAAAAAGAGACAAAGTTTATTCGATTCAGATCTCTGAACAAAATTTACAAAATTTGTCCTATGACTATTTTGTCCTTTCCTTTTTCTTACGCTGATATCAAAATGTAAACAAATCCTTAATGATGTTTAAAAGGATTGTGATGTTGGCTACACACGAAGTCGTGATGGATTTTACCTTGGGCGCTGTGTACCATGTGACTGTAACGGACACTCTGGCGAGTGTAGCCCAGAGACAGGTGTATGCAGGGTACGTACTGTTACTAATAAATTGTATAGCATGTTAAATGCTCATACATACTAATAATAGCTCTAGTTTTCTCTTTTTGGAAAACAATATTTCTGAATAAATGGAGTTAGATGAAGTCAGTACTGTTTGAATGATCCAGTATTTCTAGTTGCTAAGTATGGTGCTATTTCCAGAACTGTCAACACAGTACAGAGGGAGACAACTGTGAGCGTTGCGCTGCTGGTTTCTATGGTGATGCGACACGTGGAAGCCCCAATGACTGTCAGCCTTGCTCCTGTCCCCTTACAAGAGCTCCCAACCAGTAAGTTTAATGATAGAAATCTTTTGTTCCTCCTCAATAACGCTATAACAAATGTGTTTGATGTGGGATACCTGTGGGAGATTAATAGAACCTATCATTCGAGTGTGGTGTTGACCAAGAAATCTTAAGGTAATAAGATTGTGTCGCCATTTCTCAGTAGAATTTATTCAAATTTTGTAGTTATATTGCTTTGAAGTAAAGAAAAATTTCTGCTATAAAAAAAATATAGGTTGTCTGAATTTTAAGGATTTTAAATGGAAGTTTATGTAAAAAGGGGTGAATTTTGAAAAAAAATTTGAAACAANCAAGAGTTATCGTTCTTGAAAAACTTCACAGTAGTGAAATAGGTAGCCGGTTTCCTGAAGTACAGAAAAATGGACACATGTGACTCATTGATTAAAAAACAACTGAATTAATGCCTGGATTGCTTTGCAATACTTTAATATTGAAAGAACACACTGTTCTGTCAATAATAAGCATACAATATTCATCAGTTTAATATTAAACATTAGAATATGCGGAAATTGTGATACTGTCTCCCTACATTGGATTTTCAACTAGGGATGTACTTCCTATTTCCGTTTAGCAATACACTCCTATGACCTTAAACCAAGGGTGAGATTTTTGGCATTTAGCACCAGGTTTTGCTGAGTTCAATTTTCAATGTTCAAATTTTATGGTTGATTTTCGTTTCAACTCAAATTTAATTGTTTGCATTTATGTGTGTACATTTGTAGCTGTATATATAAAAAGAAAAGAAAAATCCACCCGGTAAAATGTACAAGTAATAACTTTCATTTTCATTAATTACAGATTCAGTCCTACTTGTATGCTGGACACAGATGGTCAAGTCACCTGTACAGCCTGTCCAGCTGGCCACATTGGTCGCAGATGTGAGAGGTGAGAGTTCACGCTTCATCATTCACACGGCTTTTTCTATAATGTCTGTTTATGAAATTCAGAAATTCAGAGGGCATTTCAAAATATAATGAAATATTCAATGATACTTTTTTTCCTGTATACCTTCCTGGTATATTATAATTGTATAAGCTTTATGCCGGTAATATGGGGGCGATATTTTACCATGTTACCTTATAACATCTGTTTAATGAATTTGCAATATTGCAAAACAATATTTTATTACCAACTAAAACTATGATTTTATTGATTTGAAATTGTTTGTTTGATGAGAGTCAAACCTCAAATTGAAGATATGATGTACACAAATTCATTTTGGGTTTCTGATGAGTTTTCTACAGAATCTGTTTTTTATTTATTAAAACCAATTCTTGCATGCTATAGATATATTTCTTTCACATGTTTTTTAAAAGTTATTTTTTGATGCTATAGATATGTTTCTTTCACAATTGTTTAAATAGTTTTGTGTTATGTTCTTTATTAAAGACATTTGTCCTGTGTCGCTGTAATAAAAGTTATAATGATGTCAATGTTTTCAATGCCACAGGTGTAATCAAGGTTACTCAGGAAACCCTTTGAATCCCGGTGACTACTGCAAGATCGGACCTGTCGGTGAGTATCATATATAAAGAATCTCACATAAGTGTCCATGTCATGGTGAACGAGTTAAATAAATTCAATATGACATGGACTCAAATATAAGATTCTATTTATCGCATAACTTCATAATTTGAAAAAAGCTTCTTACACAATTAAGTGTTGTCAGCTAATTCCATATAGGTAAAAACCAAAGTACTCCAACGATGGTATTGTCATTCAGGGCAAAGTAAAGTAGTTCCAGAATTTTATTTCAATACTGAACAATTTTAAATGCAATGAAAATAATAATGACAAAATAACCATTTCAAACTCAGTTATATGATAAAGCTGTACATAATCTGTCTGATCCTACCTTGTGAAATAGATAATTTCTCATTAATATGCATACAATATATTTAGGAAACAAATCACTGCATACTATATTGGGTAACTTAATTATCTCGACACTTAAAAGTATAGACATCATATCGAGATAATTAATTTACACGCAGCTCAAATATTATTGTTAAAGTGAAAGTTGACTGTATACAAAAGATAACAATTAAAATATTAATGAGTTTTAATTCTCTTCGAGTTGTGTATTTATATGAATTCAGAAATCATCATTGGATGTACTTATTTGCAGATCTATACAAATGGATATCTGATTGATGAAATTTAGAAAGAAGTTAAAAATAGAATTAAAACTTTACTGTGGCATATGCATCTTCTTTTAAAAGCACTCAATAAAAATAATAAACAGTAAAATATCTTAGAAAGAAAGAGAATAAATTACTTTAACATTTGAATGGTACACACACGTTATGGTGTAACGGAATTGTTCCATGGGAGATAACTCAAATGTGCTTTTGGTCTTTACAGAGCCCCAATGTAACTGTGACAGTCGAGGAACAGTGCCTAACACACAGTGTGACCTGAGCTCCCAGCAGTGCCAGTGCAAGGTAACCAAGATGATGTAGCAACTCGAGGAGTAATATCAGTCGACAGTATATAAATATTCTCATTACCTACATGTGACATGCTGAATATTCTGCTTTTGTTTGATCTGAATGCCTACAAATACAAACAAATACATAATAATTAACACTCCCACACTCATTTACACAATATGAATTCACATGGAAGGCCGGGTGGTGCATTTTCCAATTTGGAAACATTAACTTTGAAAATTAGGCTTCATATAATTAACATAAGCTTAAGAATTCAAGTTATATGAAGAGCCTATTTTTTTTATATCTGTATCTATAGGATGCATGAGTGTTTGTCTCTCAATCTGCATAGATAAGACTTAGGGACTTAAGCAAATGAGGCTATACAATTCCAAGAGTCAGTTTCTGTGGTATCTTGTAATAGCATATTCTAAACCCATTATAAAGAGTTTTACATAAAAAGACATACTGTGGAGATAAGATAAACAATATCACATATACAAAATGTTCAAATGGACAACTCATCTAAGCATAATACTGTATTGGCAGATTATAATGATTTTTTTCTTCATATTTTAATTTACTTAAAATATGAAGAAAAAAATCATTATAATCTGCCAATAAAAGGCTGCTATGCTTCAATGCTTGTGTGTTTCATCTATAGTTGTCTCCCTTGTAGTCGTACGTCCAGGGTTTGAGGTGTAGCTCGTGTAAAGATAACTACTTCCACCTGTCGGATGATAACAGCCAGGGTTGTCTGTCCTGTTGGTGTAGTGGTATCACAAGTCAGTGTTCCAGCTCAAACTACTACAGGAATGAGGTAAGTAACACATTCCCTCTCATCTGTTCCTTCCCTGAACAAATTAAGTTATAATAAGTTATAATAAGTTAGTTATAACAAGTTATAATAAGTTATAATAAGTTAGTTATAATAAGTTATAATAAGACAATACTTAACCAGTTCCAGTAGCATTAGTCTCATGCACTCCAGGTGCCAGAGTAACTTTTGTCAGACTTTTAAATAGGATCTTCAATGAATTGTATGGCCTGTATTCATGAAACTGTTCTCATGCTAAAGCATGTATTCTGTACTCAACTTCCTTGAAACTTTCTTAAAACGTATGTGACGCAGAAAAAAGTCAGGTGTAGAGATTGGAAACAGTACTTAGTTTTACTGCTATCCTAAGTTCTTATCCATCATCATATGACCAATATCAAGACATGTTATAATGTACGAAGAGTAATAACCAACCTTTGCTCTCATACCATAGCTCCGCCCACAACTTGGCTCAGACGGAACCCACACCTTTGTATTGACCAATCGCAGGCTGAACAACATCATTGATGACGGTTTTGACATTGATGTGGCCAGGAGAGAAATTGCCTTTGCCCAGTTCCAAGGAATCCAGCGTGAACAAGAGAGTCTCTTCTTCAGCCTGCCCCCTAAATTCCGTGGAAATCAGGTGAGTTCTAATAGATGCGATTCATATGATTTTGTTAATATCAGTTGTGACAAATAAGCTTGTCCACTTCAAAGGTGTATTGGCTTGTACATATAAATCAAAATTATCATTCAACCAACATATAACCTAACTCACAGTGAGGTAGGTTACTTAAAATAGTCTTTTAATATGATAAAAACATAAACTTGTATAACCTATATCAAAAGTGTGTCATTTATAGTACAATAACAGTTCCGGAATAGTATCAACGGATATAAAGATATCTGCAAATACACAATGGAACCTTTTTGAGATAAAAATATTTTAAAAAAAGGTTCCATGTACTACTTTGATATTTTTCCACAATTTGAAAGCTCATATGTATAACCATCCTAAAATCAGTTTGTATTAATCCACAGATTAAGTCATTTGGCGGTTTCCTGAAGTTCACATTGGACACTCAAGTCAATCAGTTGGACTCTGGGAGGTTATTTAGGGATGTGGATGTAGAATTCATTGTGAGTATTTTGTTGCAGCATTTTTCAATGGTAAACAACTGTATATTATTGAATAACAGATTAAGACCACACCTGTCCCAGTAAAACAGGCACATGCAATGCTGTTCCAAATTTATTTGCACATCTAGGTCACATTTAGTCTTATTAGTGTGACATCATACATTTTATTATACTTGACATGGTAGAACAGATATAATCAACATATGTTTGTATGCTATGGTGAAATTTATACAGATGATTCCAAAATGTTTGACAGAAATAATTAACTTTGGCTGAAACATGCACAAACATTGTTGATGTTTAACTTACTTGATTGTTAAATATGTATTCAAGTATAAGGAGATACAGTGGACATATGTGAATATTAAATAAATAAATAAAGAAACAGGTTTCATTCATTGTTCAAGTGAAAATGTAAGTATAACTAGCCTGTGATATGTAAGCAGTATTTATCTGAAAATGTCGGATCAAAATATCCACTGTTGTGATTTATACAAATGTCACACCATCTGTCTTAACTAACTGCTAGATAATGTTTTGTTCAAAATGTACATTATGGATGTCTTCAAAATAATTCTTTTTATCTGAATTTTTGAATGATTTTATTTCAGACATCAGGACAGCGACAGAGGATGTATCACCTGTTCAACCCTCCTATTGAACCTAATACACCTCAGAGCATCAAGATTTTACTGCGAGAGGTAGGTTGATGTTTCAACATGGCCTACATTGACTACAAACACAAAATCTTTTACAAAATGTCGGACAAAGATTTGATTTGGAAGAGAGCCAGATATATATATGAGTGATTTAGATATAACAAATCTTCATGATATGCTTCTTGTAATAACATGTTGCTGTGTTTAAACCAATTAAACCGTGTCTTTTCTGCAATTCTGTCTACTCCAAACAGAAACGTTAGTCCTTGACATATTTCACTACTTATATATCAGTGATATATATATCATACTACTCCCACTATTAACTGTTTTCAGCCATCATTCCGTATGTTGGACGGGTCAGAGCCGAGTCGGGCAGCCTTTATGTCCATGTTAGCAGATATTGAGGCCATTCTGATCCGTGCCACCTTCCACACCCGAACAACTCGCACAGCCATTCGCGAAGTCACCATGGATACTGCCACAGCAACCCCCACTGGTCTGGGCCCTGCACCTATGGTGGAGAGCTGTCTCTGTCCCCAGGGTTACACAGGACTATCGTGTGAGGAATGTGCCCCGGGATATCTCCAAGTACAGGAGGGCAGTCAATTCCGCTGTTCACAATGTAACTGTAATGGCCATGCCACATCATGTGATTCTACAACTGGCCAATGTCTGGTGAGTCAACATTATCGGTAAATAATAAAATAAAATGACGATTAATTATGTTAGAATTTTTTATTATCAGTAGAGCAATTATAAAAAATGCTGCAATGAAAAAAAACTTAAACTACAGAGTTCGAGTTAATTGGAATTTGAGTATTTAGAAACAAAAAGAAATGCAGAGCAAAATCAGAAGTTCAAAGTTTGTATGAAAGAAGTTCCAAAGATTGAACTAAGGAAAAACTTATCTACTGCTGATTATATACATTTAACAAATGTTGCTACCTAAGAATTGTAAAATAATGGTGAAAATTTAAGTAACCTTGCCAAGGGAAGAATTCCTGACCAGAAACATTCCTTTAGGTTGCTTTGTTGTCTATAAACGATAAAATTTGACAGGATCATTGCTGAGGGTTTTAATCTTGTAATGCTTTGTCAATTTAGGACTGTCAACACAACACCGAGGGAGAACGCTGTGAGAGATGTGCCACCGGTTACTATGGTGATGCTTCCGTGGGAACCACAAGTGACTGTAGGCCATGTCCCTGTCCTCTCACTATACCATCCAATCAGTAAGTTTTCTTTACAATATGTGATTCTACGATTTCATTTTAATAACAGTGAAATTATGTTATGATCTGACAGTCTGCAGAAAATATACCCAATTGAAGCAAGAAGTAACCTGAATTTCCATTAGGAATTTCTCGGTAAAATCTTCTGATTGTTTGTAATATTTGATTCTAATGTCTAGAGCTGTTTGATTTCTTTAAAATCAAATCAAAATGTTAGAAAAGGATATTACTGAAGATGTCCAAATAGCAAAACAGCACTGTATAAGATTTCAGATATGTTGTTTGAAACATTTTATTCAAAGATAACTACTTGTCCATAAATATGATACCTTTCGCTAATAATGCAGTAAGTAATATAAAATAGCTTTCCATATATGTAGTCAAATGCTTAGATTTCTGTGGTCTTTTGCAGGTTTTCAAAATCATGCTATCAGTCGCCGGGAGGTGGAGGTCAAGTTATCTGTGACCGCTGTCCAAATGGCTATACTGGCCGCGATTGTGGAGAGTAAGTACAAATATATACTAATCCTCAGCTCAAGGATCCCTGTACCACTGCCAAAGATTGTAGTGAAGCATTGGAAACTGTTTTTCCGGCTTGACTATGGCTTTGATAAATCATTCCTGAAAAGAAAACCCTACCTTGCAGTGGCTTTTATGAAAAATAATAAAGATGAAATATATAAACAAAATAAAATCAACAGTAGTGTTCTGAGTGTAAAAAATCAACAGGGCTAGACTGGGAATTGAACCCTGGACTTAGGATTGTCCATGGCTCTAGCCAATTTAGCTACCTGGCCCCGGGATCATGAAACAATCTACATCATGTAAGACTTAAGTTTTTGCTTAGCCAATCGCGTATGGCGTCACTTTTCATGACGTTATTTGTGATTGGCTAAGTCCAAACTGAGGTCAAATTTAGACTTAAGATCGTTTCATGATCCTGGGGCCATGTCATCGAAAGTGTCCTAGCCACATAGTGCTACAGATATAGCTAAACAGAAGTTAAGGGGAGGCTACTCTGTATAGGATAAAAACCAAACTGCGGTGGAACAGGGATTCTAACTCACAAATAAGAAACGCTGATAGTCCCCCACTGGTACTACTGAAGGGGACTGTAAGTTTATACTTCATCCATCTGTCAGTTCATCAGTCTATCAATTTGCGTGTCACTTGGTCTGGGGCATACCTAATACTGTGAAATCAGATAGTTTCTTGGGGCCAAAATATCATGGTTTTCCCAACAAAACACCATGTCGTGGGTACATCATTTCGTCGATGATGTGTACCCACTCAAATGGAATTTGCTGTATGTCAAATTTGTAATAACTTTGTGGACCTCTGAATTCATGGATGAAGATTACCCATGAAATCAACAGAATTACAAACCCCACGGAACTTTGTGATTTCACAGTATACATTGATATTCTGTCACGTACAATTGTCAAATTTTGTGTGTGGGTATCTCATTGGGTGGTGATGTCACATACTGAAATCATGTCTCGTGCCCAATATGTACAACGTCAATGTCATTTTCATAAAAACATCTTTGTCCGTAGTTGGGGGACTTCTGCTTGCTTTCAATGCATTACATTTAAGTTCAGATAGGAGAAATTTTTATTTGAGTTTACACAACTGAATATTTTCACTGAAAAAGTGAAACCAGTCTACATCATCACCTTATTGTATGGGGGTGGAGACTATGTATTTATAAGCATTTGTATTTTTGTCATAAAAAGTTTTCACAGCTTAATATAGAGATAATTATACCCCCCGCAACGAAGTTAGTTATACTGGGTACCCCCTGCAACGAAGTTAGTATACTGAAATCAGCTTGTCTGTCCATCTGTCCGTCTGTCTGTCTATCCATAGAAAATGTTTGTTTTGGCTTACAGTTCTAGTTTGCATCAAAGTAGAAATTGTTAAGTTATTCCTTGACTGGTTAATTGGATTACCTTGTATTTCCTACAGGTGTGATACTAGCCGTGGCTACTCTGGATTTCCACGTGAAGTGGGAGGCTCCTGTACTACCATTGAAAGTAAGTGTGTCACCCCAAAATCTTGAAAATAACCTGCAGTTTATTACTGCTATTTGTAAGGTTTATTTTCCAAGCTGGTCTTTTTTCATGGACATCTTTTTTTTGAAGCAAATTAAACTATAAAGTGTGTATGGCATATTTTCTAGTCCGTCTTACTTTTGAAACTAAAATATAGTTTTAAGGTTTGGGTGTGCAAATTACACAGCTATAGATATTCTTAACAAAAAGATCGCTTTTTGCAACAACCATCGTTGGCTGCAAATTGATCATAAGGAATCCAAGGCAAATTTTCAAACCCTTCCTATTTTCAAAAAATAGATTTGACTGCGAGGAACAGGTTTATTTTCAAAGCCAGCTGATTTTCAGATCAGGCTTATAATTGAGATTTTAGGGTATTATTGTTTTGAACAGCTCCAGATTAATGAACCCTTGTCAAATCACAGTCATCCTTCATTGTTTACCTCAATTATTAATTCTTGCTTCATTCCTTTATTCTGTCAGTCAATTACTAATATGAACCATTTGTCTTTTTATTGTAATTAAATTAACATCATTCTGTCCTTGTCATTAAGTTGTTTAAATTAACATTATTTTTTTTAAATTGAAGTCATGTAATAGAAAGATTAGCCTGTGGCATGTATCATGTAATACATGACAGACCTTATACAATAATTTCTTTATCCCTGATATGACCTCTGACTTGTATTTCAGCTGACAAGCGCCCTGTCATCACTGTGAATCCTGTGACCATTGAAGAAAATGTTGGTGCCACTGTAGTATTCCAGTGTAATGTACAAGGCACAGGGCCATTTAATGTCATCTGGAGCCGGGCTAATGGTCAGCTTCTGTCAACACGAACACAAACTGGGCCACGTTTCAGCTTGACCATCCGTGACTTGATAGAGTCGGACAGCGGCCGTTATATTTGTACTGCCACCAATATCCACGGTAGTCGTCGTGGAACAATCAGCCTCACTGTCATTGGTTAGTATATGTCAGCCTCACTGTCAATGGTCAGTATATATGTGAACTTCATTGTCATTGGTCATTATGTATGTGAACTTCATTGTCATTGGTCCCTACTTACAGGTATGTCAGCCTCACTGTCATTTGTTAGTATATGTCACCCTTACTGTCATTGGTCAGTATATATGTGAACTTCATTGTCATTGGTCATTATGTATGTGAACTTCATTGTCATTGGTCCCTACATACAGGTATGTCAGCCTTTGTCTCATTGGTCAGTATATGTCAGCCTTACTGTCATTGGTCAGTATATGTCAGCCTTACTGTATAAAGTTAGTATATATAAATCGTGTCAAATTTTTAAATGATTTGATCAAACTAGGTTGCAGTCATGTTCATATTTCAATATAAAATATTTTTATAAAACTAGGTCGCAAGCAGCCAATCCGTGTGAGAATTGAAACACCACAAGTAACAGCAAATGAGGGAGAATCAATCCGATTTGTCTGCCTACCACTTGGAAACAGAGAAGTAAGTAAACATTGTATTCTGTGGTCAGTCTTTGATACAGAGTTGTTAACTAGAGTGAATACATACTCATACTTTGTTTCTTCAATTTCTACTCCAGAAACCTTATAAGTGCAACTCCACCTTACATGTTTGAAGGATTTTTTTTGTCACTTGGCACAGTAAAAGTTCATCATATTTAGTTTTGCATGAAGAAAAGAATTGACTGTTCAACTTCATTTTCTGGAGTATTCACCCTTTGAACTTTAAAATACTGCTTCTAAAACCTTGTAAGTGCAACTTCTCCTTAAATGTTAGAATTTTTATAAATTGGCACAGTGAAAGTACATTATATGTTATTGTGCAAAAAGAAAGGAATTTGCGATTCCACTATTTTGGCTGGGGTTATGGCCATTGAATTTATGCTCCAGAAATCTTGTATGCACAACTCCTCCTTAATCATAAATAAGATTGTTTTTGTAATTTGGCACAGGGAAAATACATCATATGTTGATTTGCACGTAGGAAGGTATTTGTGATTGAGACATTTTACCCCCTCCAAACAAAGTTTGAATATGTAGATAAAATAAATTGGGGGAGGGGGGTTAATATTGTTGTGTGAGCTTGCTCACAGTTTCTCTAGTTTTTTTAATTGGACAAATAAAACAAATGATTATTTTTTTGTCATTTTAGGATGTTTCATTCAGATAACTTTTTCAGAACATATCTCAGCTTTTACTACAATACTTTATTGATCGTTACAGAGCACATACATCCTGTCGTGGTCCAGGCAGGGAGGTAATCTGCCACCCCAGGCCAACGACCAGATGGGCATACTTTTAATCCCCAATGCTCGTCGAGAGGACGCAGGCGACTATGTATGTACAGGTTCCGACATGACTAGCATGGATACAGCTACTGCTGTCCTCATTGTCAGCGGTAAGTTTTACTTATTGTTTTTTCCAATACAGGTCAAGGTCACAACAGATTCACAAAGTTACGTACGACATATTGTATAGGTCAAGGTTAAAAAAATGGACTAATTGTCTGTTTTGTTTTTGAAAACATTTTGTGATTTGTTTTTAGCTGGTTACGGATGAAGTGTTTCTCTTTAGTAAATTAGAATTCTGCAGAATTTAGTTTTCTTTAAGGACATGTTTTGATATGCATTATCTTCGTTTGATCTATAAATGTCAGAGCTTTGAAAATTTTCAAAACAACCTTTAGCATGACCTTATACATAACTTTAATATAACTTTTGCAGCATCCCAGATTTCTCCTCAAGTCTCCATTGAGCCAAGGTACCTGAACTTAGACCAGGGAGCTTTAGCTGAGTTCCGTTGTTTAGCCACAGGAACTCCTGTCCCCACAATAGAATGGCGAAGAGGAGGAACTGGCCGACTTAGCTCTTCAGCCACAATTTCTGGTGGACTACTACGTATTTCAAATATACAGCCTTCGGATGAAGCTGAATATTTCTGTAAAGCCACCAACGTTGCTGGATCCAGCGAGATTAAAACCATCCTCTATGTGACTAGAATACGTAGGTTTACTTAATTATCAGACTTTTTTTGTTTCTCTTGGAATAGGAAAGATGAGCATCAAGATCTGCATTATACAGTTTGTTAACGGTTTACATGTTTCAGCTGGCTAGGTTCGACATCATCAGAATTAGGTTTGTGTTCACCTTCACGGTGAAGCTCTAGTGAGTACCATTGGTATCATCATAGATTAATTCTACTACAGTTTTTTGTGACCCTATGTTGGGTTCTTTCTTGTTCCGTATGGAAACCAAACTTTACGTTTGTTACTCTGCTAGACTACATTCATGAAAGGTATAGGTATGGTTCTCCCGTACTATTTTCTGTACAGGTTTTACTGGACAAGGACATGGGGAACATTTTTGATAAGTATCAGGTTTAATGCTACAGAAAACAATAAAAGAAGTTTTCTTAGGTTTAGTGACCAACATAGGTATAAAAAAAAAGGACTTTTACCATTTGCCTATTTCCAGCCTGAAGCAATATCATACTACAGTTTGTTGGCATGTAACTCTATGATGATGTCACAGTTTAAGTCATCACTTTATGTATTACAGTTTTTCTATTCTATGTTATGCTAATGAAAAATTATTCATCATCATCAGTGACAATATTTCTTATCGCTGTGAAAACAGACATTCATTTTGAACCTGGTATTTCTGAATATTCTATATCTTGAAACTTCTATGATTTTTTTCTCGTATTTTTTTTTCAACAGGTTTAGGTTTAACTCCTATAATATATCTTTCTTGGTAGAATGATAAAAATAACCGGACTTTCATATTCCAATATTTGTCATGGCAAAGAAAAAGTCATAAATGTTCTACAAAGAAGCGTTTTATAGTGATTCAGTGTTTTTGTTAGTTTGGTCAGAGCAACAATTTATAAAATAATTATTTTCAACACTACTTTTTGAATTGTGTTTTTTACTATACAGTATATATTAATTGGTGATTAGACAGGGAAGTTTGACTTTAATTATGTGCACTGTAGAAAGTGCAGTGCATTTAAAGCAATGATTAGTTCTTGTTGCTATATTACTTTTGTGAGATACGTACATGTGATATCTTGAAATATGTCTGTTATAAACAGGTTTCTTTGTGAACTTTTTACATAGTTTAACAAGGGAGATAACTTGGTGAGAATGAGCTGGAGTCTATATAAGTGCCTTAGAGCAATTTTGCATATGATATAGGGTGCTAAATAAATGTTGTATATGATTTATTATCATTATAAACTTGTGTACGTGTTTGCTGTGTTACAGAGCGTCCTGAGATCACAGTGATCGTGCGACAGACATCCCTTATTGCTGTGGTAGGAACGACCGCCCAGCTGTACTGTTACGTAGAGGACAGTACAAGGAGGACAACTGTTGTTTGGTCCAGGAGTGGTGGACTCCCACAGGGTAAATAGACCTTTATTAATTCCTACTATGTAACATTGTATATTGGCTTCTGAAATCGACTTTTAGATAAAAGCAGGATATTGAATTTTAAATTTACTTACGTTTAGTTTTCACCGCTTTCCTCTGTCTCTTCTGTTTCATCTTTTTCATATATCCTTCTTAAGAAGATAAATTGATACTTTTTTCTTTCTGTCCCATTGGAATAGTGAATTTATTTTTTCCCAGTTTACCGTCATGATACATCATTTTACCTAACTGTAGCGGAACTGGATTGGGTCGATCGGCGGCGACCAGGTAGCTTAATTGGTTAGACCGTCCATCTAGATTTAGGATGGTTCTTAGTTTGAACCTCGGTCTGTCATTTCTCTTTCTCCCGTTACATTCCAATAAATTTTGCGTTAATATTTTCATCTCTCTCTGTTAAGATAATATCATTATGAGCCTTTCCAGTACTTCAGTATAAGTTTTTTTCGTTTTTCTAGGAAGTTCACAGGAACGTGGCACTCTGACACTGACCAATGTCCAGCCATCACATTCCGGCACGTATGTGTGTACCGCCACAGCTCCTACAGGTAGCGGGACGGCCACCACTGAAGTAACCATCTCAGAGGGAAGTAAGTATCAATAGGAGATTGACATCTCCATCAACTTTTTGACTAGGTTTGAGTACATCTCTAACAAATGTTTGACTTTGAACTTAAAGTTTTAAGTTAAAGAATTGGGCAAGTTCAAAAACTCACAGAATCTTGTTTACTGAATCTAAGGTTTATGCGTGAGAAGAAAGACTGGATAGATAAGTGCCTCAATCCGAAATTGCCTTGTTGATGGACTTAACGGAATGCAACATTATTGAATGCATTCATTCAATTTATTGAGCATGTGACCATCTTCAGAGATACTTATCACATTCTGTCTTTTGCAAATTTGTAACAAATATGCAAGACGTTTTCTTTGATGTTACAACAGCCGAATCCCCAACAGCCACTATTGAGCCTTCCCGGCTGACAGTTGCCATGGGAACAACAGGAACTATTCGGTGTGCAATAACGGGTAAACCACAGCCAACCATCACGTGGAGCAAGAGTCGAGAGGAGCTCTCCAGTCGCCACCAGGTAACACAGCACTAACTCACCATCAGGTTACACTACACTAACTCACAACCAGGTAACACAACACGAACTCACCATCAGGTAACACAACACTTACTCACCATCAGGTAACACAACACTAACTCACCATCAGGTAACACAACACTAACTAACCACCAGGTAACACAACACTAACTCACCATCAGGTAACACAACACTAACTCACCATCAGGTAACACAACACTAACTCACCATCAGGTAACACAACACTAACTCGCCATCAGGTAACACAACACTAACTCGCCATCAGGTAACACAACACTAACTCGCCATCAGGTAAATCAACACTTAACTCACCATCAGGTAACACAACACTAACTTGCCATCAGGTAACACAACACTAACTCACCATCAGGTTACACAACACTAACTCGCTGTCAGGTAACACAACACTAACTCATCATCAGGTAACACAACACTAACTCGCCATCAGGTAACACAACACTAACTCACCATCAGGTAACACAACACAAACTCGCCATCAGGTAACACAACACTAACTCTCCATCAGGTAACACAACACTAACTCGCCATCAGGTAAATCAACACTTAACTCACCATCAGGTAACACAACACTAACTCGCTGTCAGGTAACACAACACTAACTCACCATCAGGTAACACAACACAAACTCGCCATCAGGTAACACAACACTAACTCGCCATCAGGTAACACAATACTAACTCACAATCAGGTAACACAATACTAAACTGAGGAAGAGCAGATTTGTGTTTGGTTTGTATTTAAAAATAATTATTAATGCATGACTGCTTTTGAAACATTTGAATCATAGTTCAAACAAACAAAATATTATATGTAGAAACATAACTCAAGGATAAAATTTACATTATGTTTATACCATTGTTATTATGAAAAAGTAATATTCTAGAAGAACTTAAGGAGCCAAACTCGATAGGGACATATCAACTTCAATTTCTGCACCTTACTATGGTGCTAACCAGGAATTAAAGATGAATAGCATAAAATTGAAAGATTAATACATTGACAAGCAAAGTTACTTTCAATCTAGTAAAAATGCTGTTTTTTTACATTAAAGGGAGATTACTCCCAGTCAAAAAGAAATCTTTGAAGCGGAACTCTTCCCTACTAATATGATTATGCAGTGGTACTCTTTCCCTTGATAGGTATAGCTCATTATGTTGTATTTTCATAATACCTCAGAAATGACAGGCAGTGTTACTAACATCTCGATATTAATTGTACACGGTGTTGACTTTGTTCAGGCCAATGGTGGAGTGTTACGTATCGTTGATGCTAGGATGGAGGATCGTGGAATCTATGTGTGTCGAGCTGAGAACTCCGCTGGTGTAGACCAGGGCTGGGCTATTGTCGAGGTGGAACGTGAGTGTCATAGTCTTCCTTACAATACATATTCTAGAGAAAATTCATAACAATTTGCTTTAATGTCATATTTTATTGGATATCAGAAGGCAACTTTTTTGTTGCGTTTCTGTCTGTCATAGCATAACTGTTTACAACTTTTACATTAAATATAGGTCGTATGATGCCAAAGATTGACTTCTATCCCAGTGAGACCCAGACAATATCTATAGGTGGAAGTGCTTTGTTCCAATGTAGAGTAATGGATGGAGACCCACCACCAACACTGACCTGGACAAGGTAGGTTTATACCTGTACAACCCAACTATCTCTTACCTGTCATTTTTCACATGTAAAAATCAGCATCTGTATTTCATAAGGATTCCCTTGTGTGTTTTTTAAGCAAATGATATAATGCAAATAAAATATATTTAATAAAAAAGTGCCTCGATTGAGATTACTTTACATGGTTCGGAATCCAAGGCAATTAATGTGGCTATATGATGGGGAGGGAAAAGCTTGTAGTATGAGTTGCCTTTGTCCATATGTACACAATTACTGTGAACAGATTTGTGTTTCAGGATTGTTATTCCACAGATAATCAGTGAAATAAGGACCATGGGTAGTGAGGACATTCTTGTCTCTCAAGCACTATCTAATATATTTGCCAAAAAGAATATTTAGGTGTTTTTTTTCCAAATGTAGAGACCATATCCCATTATTGCCATAAAATCTGTTTAAAAGATATTTCCAAAAATGTAGATCTTTTACCCTTACAAAATCCATAAATTTAATGACTTGGAATGAATTTAACTATTAATGTGACAGTTCATCGATTCATGTTGTCAAATTAAGTACTTCCACACATAAATCATTTTGACGTTGACCTTTAACCTTTGCGCAGGGCCGGAGGTGAGGCGCTCACCACTGACACTACAGAGTTGATGGACAACGGTGTAATCATGTTCAAGCAGGTGACCGGTTCTGAGGCAGGACAATATGTGTGTACAGCGACCAATGATATGGGATCTGTGTCTAGCACTGCTGTCCTCATCATTCAGGGTAGGTCACTCTAGTATAGGTGAAGCTCTAGTCTGCGCTGCTGTCCTCATCATTCAGGGTAGGTCACTCTAGTATATTTGAAGATCTAGTCTGCACTGTTGTCCTCATCAATCAGGGAAGGTCACTCTAGTATACGTGAAGATCTAGTCTGCACGGTTGTCCCCATCATTCAGGGTAGGTCACTCTAGTATATTTGAAGATCTAGTCTGCACTGTTGTCCTCATCAATCAGGGAAGGTCACTCTAGTATACGTGAAGATCTAGTCTGCACTGGTGTCCTCATCATTCAGGGTAGGTCACTCTAGTATAGGTGAACCTCTAGTCTGCACTGTTGTCCTCATCATTCAGGGGAGGTCACTCTAGTATATGTGAAGATCTAGTCTGCACTGTTGTCCTCATCATTCAGGGTAGGTCTCTCTAGTATAGGTGAAGCTCTAGTCTGGACTGCTGTCCTCATCATTCAGGGTAGGTCACTCTAGCATACGTGAAGATCTAGTCTGCACTGTTGTCCTCATCAATCAGGGAAGGTCACTCTAGTATACGTGAAGATCTAGTCTGCGCTGTTGTCCTCATCATTCAGGGTAGGTCACTCTAGTATACGTGAAGCTCTAGTCTGAAAATGGGGGATATCATACTATTGAGACCCAAATACAGAAAACATTTTATGTAATCAAGTGCGTTATACTTCAGCAGGAAAAACCTAACTTTTAATAGCAGTCCATTATTGTTAAAAGGGCTTCTTGTAACTAAATCAAGATAAAAAAGGACCAGTTCAAAACCAAATGATTGTTATCATAAATTTGACATGAATTAATCTAGAGATTTTGAGCACAATAAGCAATAGATGTACGTGTTCAGTACCACTCTTGAAATGGTAAAGATTTTGTGTATTTTTGCTGCTGCATAGGTCCTCCAAGGATTGTCATCCAGCCCGATAGAACAATTTATGCGTTGGTTGGTGAGAGAGTGACCGTAGAGTGTATTGGTCAGGGTGATCCATTGCCCGCCGTTTACTGGCGTTACAACACTGCACCCCAGCGTGGCGACATTCCACAGGAACCTGACTACGAAGCCTTAGCAACGACTGGGTCTGCTACCTTGACCTTGGAAAATGTGGGAATATCTCAGACCGGAAACTATGTTTGTGTGGCGAAGAATGCTGGTGGAACCACACAGGAGACAGTCCAGATCATCAGTGAGTCGGGCCATTCCTTCAGATATGTTAAACCCGTTAAACCCGGACAGCAGAAACAAACGTGCTGCAATGTTCATTTCTATCAAAACTTGCAAGGTCTTGAGATTTCTGTTTTACTGAGACAATTTTTTTTAAAGCAAATTAAAACCAAGTTTGTCTCTAAAAACACTGAATGAATGATAGAACAACTGATTAATGTTGTGTGTAGCTGAATTAGCTAAGCTCTGTTACATTACTGTTCATTTCTTAATAATGATAATAATAACACTTCGAGGTTCTTATATACTGCTTTATCCCAACCTAGTTCATAGATTGTCTCAAAACGATTCACAAATTATTATCCGTGGGTATAGGGCCTTTGCAACCAGCCAATATCTTTCTCAACTCCCTGGGGACAATACAGCCGGTGCTGCCACTTCGGCGCTCACAGCTAGCATTCAACAATTCTAGCACTGCCCATCCACATACTCATTTACAGCTGAGTAGACTGGAACATGTGGAGTAAAGTATCTTGTTCAAAGATACAACTCAGTGTCGTGCCGTGATTTGAACATGCAACCCATTATTCACGAGCCTGGCGTTGTTTTAAGATGACTCATTCCATCCAATTGAATAAGAAATATGCTTGTTAATTATTTATGAATATTTTATCATTTCAGTCCGAGAAGGAAGACAACCAGATGGAGATATACTTGATATTGATGGACCAGATCGTCTGTCAGTTGAGGATGGTCAGAGAGTGGAGCTCCGATGTAATACCCGTGGTAGGTATCTAGACTGGGTATACTTACAAGTAGGAACAAAACATTCTATATGCTTATGTGTAACATTGTAAGTACAATGTGAAATTGTGGTTTACTATGATTAAAACCATCTAAGGTTTTTTCTGTCCTGTTTTATTGTGTGTAAACATTAATTTTAATCTTAACTTCCTTGTTCCCGACCATAACTGCACTGTACATTACCGATTCCTTGCTGCTGAATTTGTTTTTAGTGGACTAATGAAATGTGCGTGTTTGTAGGCCTAGTAAACCCAGTTGTAAGGTGGAGGAGGCGCGAGGGTCCACTCCCACCAAACCACAGCCAGAGAGGTGGCACCCTTGTCATACCCCGCTTCTCCTCAGAGTATAGTGGAGAGTATATCTGTACAGCCACTGCACAAGAGAAGACTTACGAAACCTCTGTTTATATCATTGTGACAGGTGAGTTACTTTCGTGTATATGTATTTTTACCTGAACTTTACAGATGAAAGCTTTAGTGCATATTCTTCACTGTTGATATGTTTTGTACTTAACTAATTGGTAATACAGATAGTTAAACATGTATTCTGGTCACTCAATACAGTTTAAATTAACTTTAAAACAAGTGCAATGATTAAAGTTTAAGTATGTTGATTTCTTAACACAGGTGGTCTCTTAACACAGTTGGTCTCTTAACACAGTTGGTCTCTTAATACAGGTGGTCTCTGGAGCAGGTTTCATTGTATTTCAAAATAATCGTTATCTTTCCATGTTTAAGTTCGACCACGACTGACCATCTCACCTGCCCGTGTTGAGGCGATAGCTGGACAGAGGATACAGTTGACCTGCATTCCCCAGGGGTCAGGGCCTTTCCAGATTGAATGGTCTAAAATGAGTGGACTTCTCAACCCTCGTGCTGTCCAGACCAGCGAAGGCACACTGGTCATTAGCCAAGTGACTGCTGCTGATGCTGGACGGTATCGGTGTGCGGCTACCAGTTCTGCGGGATCATCCGATGGCTATGCAGAAGTATCTATACAAGGTAGATGGTTTGTCACTGACTGACTAACAATTGTTGCCCTCCTTTGATTAATTACATGAACTGTTGGATGGTATGACACCATGACCAATTATTTACATCTGTATTTTATTTTAAATCCTATTTACTAACTAGAAACCACTAAACTACCTCTGATTACTCCTAAAATTACAGTAAGAGTAAAGCTGGTTATTACAAACTTGGATATCTTTAATTTAGGGTGGTGCGTACTGGAATAAAGTTGTGTATTATAACTTGCCTTGTGTAATTACACCTTGCCTTTCAATGCAGTTCCCCCGACGGTGCTTGCGGAGGTAAGACAGACCAGCCCTGTGATTGGCCAGTCCCTGTCGTTCGCCTGTAACGCCCAGGGTGTGCCGAGACCAACGATACGCTGGGAGAAGGAAGGAGGATCACTACCTATCTCACATCAGATTGTAGATGGAGTTCTGACGTAAGTTCAACGGAAACTCGCCAAATATTGTAAACTCAATTCATTTGACTTAATCTGAAATATGCATTAAATTTTAAAATGTTTGTCTCCCAACATATATCACAGAAGGTTGTTTGCTAGTGTTGTTTTTGGCTCACCTGGCACCAAGCTAATGACCTTATGACATACTTTATACCGGGAAATTTTAGCTGCAATTTAGTTTTCGCCTTTTCCACCCTCCCTGGTGAGGATGAATTTATCATTACAATAAACAACATATTATACCTACCGGTATATAGTAATTTAATGTGAAGGGCGAATTTAACAATGGGCGAAAACTGATTTCATGGGCGAAGGGCGAAAGTTTGACTGGGTGACAATTAGTAATGCTACATTTTCACAATACACCAATGCTGCGATCAGCATCTAATAGTTATTAATATTAATACAAAAACACTCCATTGTTTGAATTTCAGGATCTATGATATCACAGCTGAAGATGCGGGACGATACATTTGTACTGCCACAAACGCTGTAGGAACCGCACGAGATTATGTAGGAGTAAATGTCCAAGGCAGAAAGAGTAAGTCAGGGGAAATCACTTTAACCTTTAATGTTCAAAATAATACATTGAAGATTTTTTTGAATATTTTATTGTTGTTGATTTTGGTTATATCTTCATAGGTAGTTGTAGGTTAAAGAAAGATACAATATCATACCAATAGTTATTAAGAACTTATTTTACCAGCTGGTAAAGGAAGTCCTCAAGAATAAGTCCACAAGCCACTAGCTTTATAAAAAGTTTGGATTCCTATTATAGGGATGTCTCCATGCACCTGAAAACTTCCTGGGAGGTCACTACTGCAATAGTTAGAACAAATATGATTATACCTCATCTTTATAACAGCCTGTCTGATTGGATGATACTGGTCACATGACAGGGCAATAAAACATCATGTCACCCTCACTTACTCAGGTTTCAATGATCACATTTCCCTCTCAAGAAAAATTGACAAGAGTCACGACAACCTAGAACCAAACGACAACAATTGCGCCTCAACCTGGTCATCTCTACTATTTTGTGATTTTTTTACGATTTATTTATTTATTTTTTGGCATTATAAAGTATGTATTGCTGTTACTGTAAGGAAACACCATTCTTCGATTGGCTTTGATTAATTATATTTCTCTCTGGCTTCACCCTCATGAAACATAATTAAATTTGGAGAAACAAAGAATTGTATTTCTCTACAGTGAGGGCAATACATGTATAATAAATAAAAAAAAAATTCAAACACCAGACTCTATGGAGGAAAAAACCCAAAGTACTCCGATCATAGTATTGTCGTTCCGCAAAGTGCAAAGTAGTTCAAGATATTTTTTTAATAATGAACAATTAAAAAGCAATAAAAGATTAATGACATAATAACAATTTCCAATTTATTTAAAATATCAGTAATGTATCATGTGTTATAGAAAAGAAAAGTATTTTCTGTAGTGGCGTAGAAATTTCTCCCTTAGTTTTGACCAATCGCAGCACCTTTAGGTTTTATTACACGTGTGTAATACCATATTTATGACATGGCTGTATGACATAGTAAAATGGGTCAGTTTTGTTATAAATAAATAGTTTTAGAATCAGGAATATTTTTGACATGAAGGCAACAACGTAGCTCTCCATTATACACTATCTACTTCTGTTACAGCTGATCCTAATGTCACTGTGAAGATTGACACACAGACACTCAACATCGGAGAACGTGTAGAAATGGAGTGTGTTGTTACAGGTAAGTCCAAACATTGTCAGAACTAGGACACAAATAAATGTTCTATTATTGTCATGTGATAACATAGTGTTGGAAATTGTTTTTTTTTTCCCGTCATGGCTATAGCTTAAATGAATAATTTCTAAAAAGAAAACCACACCTTGTGGGACTTTAATGATTATTATCAGATTATTAGGGCCGTTTTTGTTTAAAAGTTTGAACCGGTCAGACTACAGTTGGTCCTTTATTAAATAAGGTCGGACCTAGTAATCTGTAACTGCTTTCAGACGAGCCTTGACAAAGTCTTGTAAGGCATGGATAAACATTTGCAGGTCCGCCAGGATTTTTACCCAAAATTGGTCCATTTACAAACGGACAAACCGGTTGTTCCACATAAACGAACAGGCCCTAGGTCACTTGTTCTAAATTTGGATTTTCAGTCTTTTGTTTGTAATTGGGATTTGATGTCTATTAGTCGATCACTTCAATCTCACAAACTGAACTATGTATGCAGGAACACCACGCCCCACAGTCAGGTGGACTAAGATAGCTGGAGACTTGTCCGATTCAGCATTCATTAATGACAACATCCTCGTCATTCCCGAGGTGTCACTGACCGATGCTGGCACCTATCTGTGTGAAGCGCAGAACCTGTATGGCAAGGTTGAACAGAGAGTGACTCTTTACATCAGGGGTAAGTGACTGTTATACTGCCACTGTTTATGCAGTGAAATGTTTGTGTAATAAAGGAGTGTGGCAATACAGTAAAACCTCAATATAATGCCCCTCGTTTCATTTGCCCTCTCGTTTATCACCAATATTTTTTTTAATATCCTTTTTTTTTCTCTGAAGAATTTCTTTAAACATTTCCCTCAATTTATCACCAAACCCCTTTATAACGCCATACTATTTCTCTCGGCAAATGGTGGCAGTAAAGTGAGGTGCAATAAGACAGGGATACTTAAGGAAGTTTAGGGGAGGTTACTGTATATTGGGAAAACCACAGTGCAATAAGACAGGGATACTTAAGGAAGTTAAGGGGAGGTTACTGTATATTGGGAAAACCACAGTGCAACAAGACAGGGATACTTAAGGAAGTTAAGGGGAGGTTACTGTATATTGGGAAAACCACAGTGCAATAAGACAGGGATACTGAAGGAAGTTAAGGTGAGGTTACTGTATATAGGGAAAACCACAGTGCAGTGGGAGAGGAAAGGAAGTTAAGGGGAGGTTACTGTATATAGGGAAAACCACAGTGCAATAAGACAGGGATACTGAAGGAAGTTAAGGGGAGGTTACTGTATATAGGGAAAACCACAGTGCAGTGGGGCAGGGATACTTTAAGGAAGTTTAGGGGAGTAGACTGTATATAGGGAAAACCACAGTGCAGTGGGAGAGGAACGGCAGTTAAGGGGAGGTTACTGTATATAGGGAAAACCACAGTGCAGTGGGGCAGGGATACTTTAAGGAAGTTTAGGGGAGTAGACTGTATATAGGGAAAACCACAGTGCAGTGGGACAGGGATCCCTAACAAAGATGCCTGAAGCAGGTTTCACTGTAGACAGAACTTGTAACTTGGCAGAATGTTCTACAATTGTTTGACATTTTTCAGCCCGTCCTCGGATCTCCGGCCAAGGAGACAGTATGACTGCTGCCTTGGGTACCAGTGCTACACTGGCCTGTGAGGCATCGGGTTACCCTGCCCCTGAGATCCGCTGGTACAGGAAGAATGGTGATATGCCTAGGTAAGGGCCTACCTTATATTTAACCTGTACACTTAGTAAGAGTAAACTATTGCTTACAAATCTTTGAATGGATTTGTATAAATAAGAATAAATGTATGTCATAGCACTGTGGTACAAAACTTTGCTTTATTGCGTATTAAGTTAGAAATCATTGATATTTTCATGGTAACTACAGTTAAAACTAAAACGTAAATTTACTAGGATTTCAAATGATTGATAATGCATATCAGAATTAGTATTAGAAACTCAACGCTTTGGGTTGAAAGAGTCTATTTGAATTCTTAACTTGATGTGTTAAAAAGTTTAAGGATGTAATTTGATACAATAGGTCTTAATTGATTAAAGTTCATCAGATAAAACAATCAACAACCATAATACTGAAGTTTTAGGAAATGTTGAGCACTTTTAGCTTAAGGCTGTATGCTATTAATTTTAGTTTGCACCTACTAAGCATTTATAAACTTTTATTAGTAATGTAATAAACTTAACTTATTGATAATATAATATTTGAAAGGTACAAAGAGTGCTTGTATTGTGATACAGCATGGGTAATTCAATTTCAAGTAAAACATTTTTGAAAAAGATAACTTTAACAAAAATTACCTGTTAAAGGTAACAAACATCCTTGATAACATGCTAAAATGTTGGATTTCTTTTTTTCAAAACGTGCTGGATGTTTTTCTGGATTCTGTGTTGCAAATCACTTCTAACCAGTATATATGACAGAGCGTGTGCCTTAGAGCCTTGGAGTTCCATGTTCAGATAACGATTTCTGCAATACATTATCTTAACCTCTGCATCCATCAAAATCATGTAAGATAATAACATTAATGCTAACTAATGGTCAGCTTTTGATTTCCTATTAAAGAGAGTATGATGTCGAGAACGGTGCATTGAAGATTGACCAGGTGAAACCAGAGGATGCAGGAATGTACGTGTGTAACGCCCAGAACGAGCTCGGCACCAACGAACATTCCATGGAACTCAGAGTAGGAGGTAATGGATGAGGGAAAACTCAATATATGTATATATGATATTTACCCCCTATGGAGGTCATGACCTCCCAGTGAAATTTTGTGGGGGTCATTACACACAGCATTTATTGACTTAATTCATGAAAGCATTTATAAAATTGATCATAGTTGTATTTTAGTGTTGAAATAACTTTTTATCATTTTAATATTTCTAGCATATCTATATATTAATGTGAGCATTCAGTGAAAGTTTGATGAGTTTATCATGTTTATATTATTGATTACAGATCTAGTGCCGAGATTTGCACAAGACCCAGTGTCATACATCTCTTTTGCACCATTGAATGACGTATACTTGGACTTTGACATCCTCCTGTCACTGAGGCCAGAGACCACTGATGGACTGGTCATCTACAATGGCCAATACGACACAGGGACCACCGGGGACTTCGTCTCCTTTGGAATGTCAGAAGGCTATCCGGAGTTCCGCTTCGACATGGGATCCGGACCAGCCATCATCAAAGGTGCCCGCAAGCTTACGCTGGATCAGGCTCACACCATCAAACTGACAAGGAACAGGAGGCAGGGTGAGTTTTAAATACATCTGTAGTGTAATCCACAATTTTATTGTTCTGTATTGCATGTACACTTAGAAGTTCAAAGGTCAAGGTATAAATAAATTAATTTTGTTCATAAAAAATATTTCATATGAAATAATTGTATTCATTCTACAGCACTCACATGCATTGCCAAGAGTGGTGTGGGGTGTTACTATGTAACATGGATTTTTTTGCTGCAGTTTAACTTGAGCCTTTTTCGCCCTCCCAAATACGGGGAAATTTATTATGACAGCAAAATACACAACATAAAATATATAGTAATTACATGTGAAGGGCAAGATTAATACAGGGTTAAATTTACACTGATTTTATCGGCAAAAGGCTATCATTTGATTGGGCAACAGTTTCCGGGTTAACTAGAAGATTACATCTATAGGTAAACCATTAGAATCTTAAAGTACCTGGCAAAAATACAGGTAAAGGAGTACCAGATTATTTTCTGCAAAATGTTTTACTGCATTTTCATTCTAACGGTTGATCTGTTGCATTGTAGGTACCATGGTCGTAGATGCAGAGCCAGCTTACGTTGGGACGTCCCAGGGTAACTTCCAGGGACTTGACCTCCGCGGCAACCTCTACTTAGGTGGTGTCCCAGACTTCAACTCCATTCCAAAGGGAGTCGGTTTCCGTGAGGGTTTTGTTGGTAAGTTATACCTTTTATACAGTTTTTATAGTCTGTTATGACAGAATAAAAGTTTCATTTGTTCAAGGTTTCAAACTTTATTTTCTATCTCCTGAACTTATTGCAGGGATATAAGGGGATTTTTCAGCACTAGCCTGTTCAAAATCAGTATTGGATCTAAGCTATGGCAGATATTATCTATTGCAGAAATATAGGAATTTTTTTCATAGATCTAGGAGCTAGATGTTTGATGGGGAAAAAACCTTTGAATTCCACCCAAGAAGTTCAGAAGAAAAATAAATATAGTTTAAAAATTAAAAACATTAAATTGATAAGATTTTTCATCATCAAGCATTCATTACAGTTTGGGTATGCAGATATATAAACCTGCTATTTCCTTTAGTATATTATAACAAGAAATAACATTTGTACTTACAGGAAGTGTTAGTCAAGTTCAACTGAAGGGCATCGATCTGAACCTGGGTGCAGATTACATCAAGATTGTAGGAGTAGAAGAGTACTCCATGTGTATGTCTGACCCCTGCCAGAGTGGAGGACTTTGTCGCCCTGCCAACAATGACATGGGCTTCACCTGTTTCTGTGTAGAAGGCTTCACTGGCCGAAGGTGTGAGGTCACTGGTGAAAAGTGCTATCCAAGTATGTATGCTACAGGATTTGTGATTGGTTAAAAAAAAAAAATCTGAATTTGGTCAGAGTTGGGATAAATCTAAATTTGAAATATTTCATAAACAATCTGGTGGTTGGAAAGGATTTAACATAAGAATTCTTCTGTTATCAATCCCTACATTTTAACCAGTTGGACCACTTATTTTTTCATGAAAGAGGGATGGCCCTGTACTAGTGGTCTGATATTATTACTGGTGCATCTTCTCAAAGACTTGCAAGGCATTCCTTAAAATATACAGGTTCCCTATTCTTAACCTGTGAAAGTTGGTTTTTTGTGTATTCAGAATGTAGGCTCATCTCTAATATATCTAATAATGCCTGCATATATACTGGTACATGTGTCTATCTATACAGATATATAGACCAATAAAGTTTGTTTGCGGGGTATGAATTTCACACAACCCAGCTAATTGCAAAGAGGTCTAACTAAATATCTATCTGAATGGAGTTATTGTGGGTATCAACCATTCTTCGTACGTATACATACCGGTATCTTCGCGAAAATGAGAAATTATGGTCTTTAAAGTGTAAGGTTCGTAAAACAGTTGGTGACATTTCTTGCAGATGCTTGTGGACCTGATGGTCAGTGTAGGAATCTGGTGGACCGTCCTGGCTTTAAGTGTATCTGTTCATTTGGCAAGACTGGACCAGGATGTTCAAGGGGTGAGTGAGTGACTATAGGATTGAAACCCACGATCACCGACTCTTATATAGTCAGACACTCTACCACTGGGCTAAAGGGAAATTCCTTTAAGCGCAAAGCTAGAAGGCGACTATAATTCTATGAACACTTACAATCTGCCACAAATAATAATCATTTTCATCTGCCTATTCTTTAATTGAAATGTAATAAGGATTTTTTATTACTAAATCACCATGGCCCTAAATGACCACAGCCGTCGATGGGCCGTTAAACATAAACAAACAAACAAACAAATTTTTATTGTATCATGTCAACTGAAAATTTAAAATATTTAAAAATTCTTTGGATAAGATATGTAAAAGCGATGTTAATGTATATTTTGCTTAATGGATTCCATCTTCTTTAAAAGAATCATCACCTGGTGTTTTTTTTATAAAATTTTCATTGAATCTCGGCTCTGTTTCATCTGGTTATATTCCTTGATTTAATTGTACCCTCGCTTGAAGTTATTTCCCTTTGCATGTTTCAGATGTGACAATTGCAACTCCAGAGTTTAACAGGACCTCCTTCATCTCTTACCCTCCCATTAAGGGGGCTCGCTACCAGATGAAGATTGACCTTGAGTTCAAACCTGGGACCCTGAACGATGGAATTATCGTGTACAGCGGCCATGATGAACAGGGATCAGGAGATTACATCAGCGTGGCATTACGTAACGGATACCTAGAATACAAATATAACACTGGATCAGGTAAAGCACTGAGCACAGCACATTCCGTAATATCAAACAATGCCTAAAGAGACAGTAATGTCAAAAATTGGAATTGGGGTTCGGAAACTGCTTTTTATATCAAATTTTTTATTCACCAATGAAAGACCTAATTAAAATGATCTCCCAGTGACGAAAATTTAAGATCAATACTTAAAAGGAAAATTTGCAGCCTGAGCATTCAAATATGGCTTTCGTTGTTAGCAAGATTTATAGCAATAAGTATGCTTGCTAAGTAAACTTTATTTTACCATACAAAGAGATGCAAAATGATGTTCCAGAAATTGGATTAATCTAAGGAAGTGTATCATCTGAACAAAAAAGTGATTCTCCTAATACAAATGGTCACATGGTCAATTTCATCCTTTATTACCAATGTACTCATGTATACTAAACATACTTGGTATTTTTACCTTATTTAGGACCAGCCACCCTGAACAGTCGAAACCTTTTAACTGTTGGCGAGTGGACCAGAGTATCTTTGTCCAAAAACAACCAGGAGGGCACTCTCATTGTCAACAATGAGGAACCAGTCAAAGGTAGGCAACCTCAGTTATCTCCCTTGAATTGCTTACTTTTAAGTCTTTTTAGGAAATGATCTTGATCTTTTCAATCATTTTGTAATTGTGTTTAATGTAGGAAATGGAGGTGAATCTCTAATTCTTACTTCAATTATTGGTGGCACATCACTACTGAAACAAGAATTATCTGATGTATCGAAAGCAAGTCATTTCCCCCTACAGCCTATTTCTAGTCCTGATACGATGTGCCCGACTTCAGCACATTGATACTCTAGGCGAGATGAGTTATTAACTACATATCATTATATTTTTGAACCTACTCGACAGAAATCCCCTTTCCACTACAATACAATTCATGTTCCTGATTTCAACACATGAGTTAAGTCATAATACTAAATTGTCTGTATAATCTTGAAAATGCTTAACATGAATGAAGCTTACTATTGAATACATCAGTATTGTTTTGAAAGCCTGCTTGGGGACACAAAAATTCAATCCTGTGCTGCATTAAAATACAAAACAAATTTTTCGGAATACGATTCATCAGTTTGGTATGACTAATAAAGGCTAAGGTTGTTTTGAATACATTTTGAACACAAACCGGAATTGAAAACTTATTTTGCGAGCTTTCGAAAATGTCTGTTTTCTTTGTCAAGCAAAGAGGGTAAATGATCTTTGTCAACTCTAAACCACTGAGAACAACTCGCTGAACCCCAGTGTTCCGTTTTGTGATATGCCACCTATCATAAAAACGAGTGTATACATTCCAATATAAATGTTACATCACTTATTTAATTTGTGATGGGAAAACATTATAAATGTAAATTATATTTTAATTGTAGATCAGTTATCTCCCTTCACTCATGTGTTAACTCCCCTTATGTAATATAGCTATATCATTTGTATATTTTGTCATGAATACAGCACTGCATACATATATGATAGTTAATCTTACTCTTTTTAACTGATTATCTCCCTTAGCCATCAGATCATATATATTTGATATTAGTTCTGAAACCATAATATTGATGATGTGTAATATTTGTTATCAACTTATCGCCCCTTTCTGACATTTTAGTTCCCTGGATGGTACATAGTTCAATACAAATATATTTTGTAATGAAAACAGCACTGCACACATCCCAATGAAATTATATTACCTGCAGTATATCTGAAAATGAGTTATCCCCCTTATCTGATGTGTTATCTCCCCTTAAAGAACTGTAGCTATTGCATGGTGTGATATAGCACTATTGATTAGCAGTCACGGATATTGTGTACATATAAGACATTGTAGGAGAAGCACTGTTATATATTATATACTCCAATAGAATTTATATGAATGCTGTAGTCTATATATTACTGGTCACATAATGAAAAGATCATTTCTGTAATTGTATGTCAACGATAAATTAATTCCCAAACTTCTGTCAAAATATGTTCATCCATAAAGTAGCACTGTTAATTATTTTTTGTATATCAACATTATAATATCTCATATTATCATCATTTTTTTTTTTTAAATAATTCAAATTTCAATTATTAGAAAAATGTGTTAAATTGTTTTTTCAACACATCAAATCCCACTATGAGCTCATATTCAATTGGTTATTTTATACTTTTTATAATCATGTTGTTTTCTTTGAGCAGTTTTACACCATTATTTCATACTTTTTATAATCATGTTGTTTTCTTTGACAATGCACTTTTTACTCAAAGTTTTTATCCTGTTTTTGAGCCCCTTCCACTTTCTGTATTGATTCAGCTGTTAAACAAAACATGCAGTTTAATGATTATGCTTTTCTATTGAGACTTGCCAAACATTAACAAATCTAGACATCTTTTATGTATAAGAATATTTGTTAACTTCACTCTATGGAATTAAGCTTCTCCATCAGCAAAATTCAGAGATCAGCAAAATAAGCTCTAAATGTTCAAATTTATACTATTAAAAGCAAGTTAAAATATCTCCAGGCTTACATATATTGATTTTCATTTTTGAAAACTGTCAAAGTCTTTTTAATATTTTTTTGGACAGCTCTGGAAGTAAGTTTGTGAGTTAATAGAAAATGACTGGCCTATTATATTTGACAACTATCAAATGGTGATGAACTCATCTGGTAGACATTTTGATAGCCAGACGTTTCAGTAGAACTTTTTACTTAATCATCAATGTAATACGTTTTTTACAGGAATCTTGTTTATACCCTGGCCAATGCTCAATTTTTCTTTGCATGAATTATGATTCTACCCGAGCCAATTTTGGTATAATGATTTTACACGTACCAGTATATATTAATATATTTATCTGAATCAACGTTTCTACCTTGGCAAATGACGGATTAATTGATACATGAATCCCATTTCTGCCTTACGTATGTAGTCTGGCCATGGAGTTACTATAGAGATCAGTACCGCAACTACTACAACTACCACCTGCGTAGGCAATATCGCTTCCGAAGGGCAGGTAATTCTGCTGCAACCAAGTGGTGTCTGTCATTTCAAACCGTACTATATGGTGTCCATTTTGCTTTTCATGCTTCTGACTTTCTCTTTGCTGCAACAAGTTTTTTATATGCTTACTTTTCTATCATTTTTCAACAAGAGTAGTCTTATTTGTGTGGGTAGTATCCCTTTGTGTTGGCGGTGATTTTTTTTTTTTTAAATGCTGTGGAATTTCTTAATGCACGATTTAACTTCTGCATTCCTGTTGATCAGAAAAACCTCTCTTAAATTGCTAGAGGGGAGGTTAAAAGTGATTTTACAGAGGTGCTAGTTAAACTTTTTAAGCTTCCTTCTGTCTTTATTTCTTAATATTCTTAGTCTATACCGAGTGGTGGGAGTCCTTTACATAATAGTGAAGGTTAGCATTTTGCCAATGATGTAGCATCGCTCAATATAATTATCGCTGATCAGACTTCAGGTTGTGGGGTTTTCATATACTGCCAGATTTTTTTTTTTCATCATTTGGCATGCCACAAAATCATAGATCAAAGTCACCTTGGCTACAAATTCATATATATACATGTACTGTCAAACGTTTTTCAAATCTTTTGCCTTTTTCAAAATATCCTTTGGATGACGATTAATAATTTTCATTGGTATCATACAGTAAACTATCATATCATCATCGAAAGGTGATGTGTTTATTTTCACAAACAACCTTTCAGAGGACTTTACTCCATTCCAAAGACTATTTCACAGAAATGTGTCCTTTAATTTGGATTGATTTTTAATCTGAAATTTGTTGTTTTTTGTTCCCTTATTTTTTTTATTTTTTTTTTATATATACAGTTGTGGCTATTTTTGTCAATTTTATTTCATGTCCATTCTACTGTAGTAATGAGAGTCAGAAGAAATTTAAATGTTGCTACTGTGTTATGTGTGTCCTCTCGCGGTTCCAAAAAAATTGTTTCAACAATTTTCAGGAATTCAAATGTCTCTTCTTTTATTGTTTCTTTGTTGTTCCAGGTGTTTTCAATGTTTCCCATTTGTTGTTGCTATGGATTTATTGTTTTCAATGTTTTCATTGGTTGTTGCTATGGATTTGTTGTCTTCAATGTTTTCATTGGTTGTTGCTATGGATTTGTTGTCTTCAATGTTTTCTTTGGTTGTTGCTATGGTTTCTAATAACTTGTCTTGTCATTGGTTGGCTGCTGCCGATGAATTCCCAGAAAATGTCACAAACTCCTGTTTTGTTTGTTGCACCTGTTCCCTGATGTTGTCATTTCTATCTCCAACATTGACCATCCCCATTGTTCCATAAACATGAGTAATTAATATAACATTGTTTTCTTTGGTACAAATTTCATTAATTTATGGTTGTATAATTGTTGTAACAATTGACCTTGTGTACATTTTGTGGAATAAAGTGCATGTTGTATACCTGAAAATATTCGTAGCAATAATCATCAAAGTCTCACTCCATTGTCTGGAGTTATTGCTCCTCTCATATTGCTAAAAAATAATGTTTTCCTGATCAAGAGTTAAAAAACATATCCATGAAAATTCACAGGTGTACAGTGTGTTAGTTACAATTGTGTACTTGTCAACAATAACGTTACAGTTTTTTGATGACCATCCATATTCTGTTTTGTTCTGTTGTCAGTTGATATTGCATGACTATTGTGATGAGTGTTGTTGATCAATTATCATCTGTATTCCATTCCGTCTTTGCGTATTGCAGAGTTATCTTCTCTTGTGAGCAGTATTGATTGTTACGTCATTGGTTTGTGTGAGAAAATACATTGTTTTCTCAAAAATTGATGACGTTGCTTTCACAAACCAATGACGTAAGAATCAATACCTGCTCACAAGAGCAGATAACTCTGCAATACGAAAAGACGGAATACCTCTGACCAAGTGATTTTGATTGTCTGCTTTTGGAGAATAACTGGTTCTGTATACTAGGGTATATGTGAATGACATATTATATTCCGTTTGTTTCACTTTGTTACTTTTGATCTTTCCGTAGCTGTTCTGAAAAGTATTGTAGATGTTGCTGGAAAAGATCTGGTTCTTGGCTATTATTTTTTGTTCTATAAGTAACAGTCTAGAGTGTTTACATCTCTAGTGGCCTAGGTTAACCATCATATGACATATTCCAGGGGTGTAAAGAGCGAAAGTGAGGGTAATCCCTAAATATCGAGGAACGAGGTTAACTGGTACCGGTATATATTGCCGATGGAAATATTATTTTAAATGTAGCATTGTAAGTTGAGAACCATCAAGAGCATTCCCCTTGTGAACAGGCTGTAGTCTTATCAGTTTTCCCGTTGTCTGCCATTCAGCCTATGGATTGTATAAAGACACTGTTCTACTTGGTAACAGAATTCGGTCTGTTCTATGTTGGAAACTCTGTAGTCAACAATCAAGAATTTTTTTCTCTGTATTTTTATTCAGTGTTGCATTTGTATTGTCAATGTCTTGTTTTATCAAAATATTGGTTAAGAGGTGGGGGAATAAGAGCCAATGGTTATTGCCTTGTTCTGACCCAAATTCTACTCCCTCTTGTAGAATATCCATACCCCACATACACCTGTGTATTAAGTAAGCATCGTGTTACTGCTGAGGACATGAACAACTTTAGTTTCACTTGTGATTGAGGATATTGTATTGTATTTTTATGTTGCTGCTGAGGACATGAACATCTCTTATTGTCACTGGTTGTGATTGAAGATGTTGTTATTATATAGTATGGTATTATTTTGTTGCTTTTAAGAACAGGTTACAATTGTGGATGCATTTGTTTGATTTTCTTCCAGTTTTGCCATGAGCTTTGAACGAAGAGCCAAGTGAGCCTATTCCATGGTGTGGCGTCTGGCGTCATTATTTTACTTTAAACAACTTCTTCTTAATAACCACAAGGCCTAAGGTGATGATATTTGGCCAGAAGCAAACTGGGATGAGGGCTACCAAGTTTGTTCAAATAAATTACCTTCACCCTTATTCAAGGTCACAAGGGTCAAATATGTCAAAACCAAAATGCCCAGGGTGATGATATTTTGCCAATCGCTTTATTTTAGATTACTTTTAAGGTTACAAGTGTGAGATTTATACCAGATGAGCGATGCAGGCCCATTTGGCCTCTAGGTAGTTTTTGTTTGCATCAGTATAACACTGGACGTTTTGCTGCTGAGAGATAGCTTGGTATCAAGAGTTCTTTTGATTTTGATTAGTTGTCTGGCAATTCAGTAATTCCTTAGTGTTATATGCCCCTTGTTTCATTTGCCACACCTCTTACCTCCAGTGAATTTCAATGGGTTTTTTTCTCCTTTATTGATAATCTCTTTATATCGCTTCTTCAATATGTAAAGTCCAATCCATTTTATGATACCAACATATTTCTGGACAAATGGAGGCAGTATAACAAGGTTTTACTGTAGTTTTGGTGTTTGTTGAAGTATATTTTGTTTTAGTCAAGAAATGTCATTCCAGATTTCCAACAAACATTTGTTCATTTTTTCAGTCATAATAGGATGTGGTAATTTGTGGCCATTATTAAATGTAACCTCTGAAGAACAACTGACAAAATATCTTACATGTTAAATGATCTGCATAATTTTCCTGAATAATAATTAATATTTTCTTCATCCAGGTTTTAAGGAAATAATGAATTGGGTGAATCAGTGACAATAGATTGTGTACATTGTATACATAGTCTATCATTATGTAAATTATTCTGAAGTATTACATACTTAAGTTGATGATAATTCCATGTTATCAGTGTCATCTTTTGTAAATGCTTGGAAAGATATCTGGGAGAACCATGTCTGCTGTCAAGTCTACATAAGCACATGCATGTTGTCCTTTTCGCATGTTCACTGAGTTGTCTCCCTTTGTACCAAGCTGCATTTTGTAGTCTTCATTGCAAAGCACTAGCAACTAGAAATGTTACTGCTAGGTTTGAATGTGTGATGCTTATAGTATATAGCTACCTGATCATAGACAGGTCGGACCCGAATATTTAAAATACTGCACGCTTTTATGATTTAAATTTAAAGACAAAACCTGTTTATGATGAGTAGAACTTTTTAAAGAGAGAAAACCTGGTCATGGTTACTGTAGAATATTAATGGTAATAAAACAGAATCATGATCAGTAGAAAGTTTTGTTTTAAACACAAATAATGTTCATAATTATTACTATAGAATAATAATGATTTTATTGTAAAGACAAAGATACAAAAAAGATTATGATTTAATTGTAATGTTATATAAAACCTAGGATTAAGTATATTCCGTCTTTGCCTATTGCAGAGTTATCTTCTCTTGGGAGCAGGTATTGATTGTTACGTCATTGGTTTGTGTGAGAAAATTACGTCGTTTTCTCAAAAACTGATGACGTTACTCTCACAAACAAGTGACGTAACAATAAATACCCGCTCCCAAGAGAAGATAACTCTGCAATACGCAAAGATGGAATAGACCTATATAAAATTGGATAAATTCTTTAAAAGTTATAACTAAATGCAATCCAAGTTTTGTTGAGACAAGTTTTAAAGACAGTATCAAAATCTGTACTAGTATAATAGAGTATATACTATCAAATTATTGACTCCCGTAAGATAGAATTCGATTATAGATGCAGTATATTTGACAGTTATCAGTAGATACGGTAAACCTCCGGTCAGTTCGAATCGGCGGATAGTTCGAACACGTATTTTTTTCAATAAAAACAATAATTTTCTAGCTAGTGATAGTTCAAACTCTGATTGACCTTATTTCGGATAGTCCGAACTTGTCAAATGAAAACGTAAAGTAAGATTTTTTTTCGGCAAACTCCATTGAAAGCTCGCGGAAAAATGCCAATACTTTGATCAACAGACACGTTTAGGGTAATGGGTTGTATGTGTGAGCATTGCAGTACAGCTGTGACAGACAAACCATAAATATATGTCACAGATTTTAGCGTTGATTCATTTTTTTTACATTGTTTGGAAAATACATCGTGCACGAGACAGCCAATTTCAACTTAGGCCCCGACAATGTATAAATAACATGCGATCAGTACGAACTAATGTCACGCTGTATGGCTGTACGCTAAAAAATCGCCCGTGTGTTGTCAAATACAGTGTTAACTAAGCATTTTGATTATTTTATTGCGACCCGACATCCCTTAATTATTGCCAATCAAGGTATTACCTGTAAACGTGTGCCTCACACCAGGTAGCTATAGGGCAGGACACGATGTCGCGGTAGGAATCGGCCGCCCAGCCATGGTGAGTGACGTGATTAGCATGCATGTCAAAGTCCAAACAATCCACAGGTGTCCCAATTAGCGATGGATAATTTTGAAGGTGTCAAATAAGTTTGGTAGGTATTAGGACTATATCACTTATAATTAATGCAGACATGTTGATGTTCTGACCAGAGACGTATAAAGTGTTATATACGTCTCTGGGTAGTCTTAACTTTTGTGTCATAAATGAAACGTGTACTGTTTCGGGGCCTACACAAGGGCCTCTGCTTCGCAATAACGATCATAATTATCACGAAATGAAGAAAGTTTAATGATCAATTAATATTGAATTAAATAGTATACTATCATTTTACCCATTCATAAATGTGCCATTGTTCTATGCCAGGCCGTCGTTGTTACGTATCGACCTTACATTGGATATATAGAGGTATACTCCGGTGAAGAAAATATGTCGGGTATATGTTTGTGACTTGATTT